CGCGGCTGGCTACGTACGGTGCGAACGAAGTTCAACACACACTCACACACACACACGTCGCACGCCCCACGAACGGCGCGAGGGAAATTCTCCGCTGTGGAGCTACCGAGGGGGGCACTGGCGTTGGGTCTCGTCGTGCCTCGCGCCCGCTGCGTCCGTGCAGGGGGCCCGCTGATTAACCGCCGCCGCGTCTAATATGCTAATTGTGATAAACAGGCCCTCCTCGGACTTAATCTGCGGCAATTAGAGGGCTCTATTAGAAGCCTCCATAAATGCTGCTGCCATCCCAGATGTGGCGAATAGATGCCCTTTAATTACCAGAAGCAGCGCCCTTGGCTCTGCACCGCGAACGCCGCGTGGCGATCGCGGGAGAGAGAGATTGAGAGGAGGAGGAGGGGGGGGGGAGCTCACGCGCGTGGATGACAAAGACAAAGATCTCCCATACAGCCTTCAACAATTTGTTGGGGAAAGTGCTGTTGGCGAGCACCTATGAGGGCCGGAGCGCCACGCGCGGTAAATGCTCGTGCTAAAAAAACCGTGGTTTATTTTTACAAATGTGTGTCCGGGTTTGGTCCGATTTGTTGTCGCAGCTTCCCGCTCATAACAATCGTCACGGCCTTTATCTTACCAAGTGAAAGCCCTTGAGGATTCATTATCGCGTTTGTAAGATATACATCTGTGGCCCAGACAACCATGGGGAATTTAAGATGTTCGTGTTCACTTTTTGTGCGGTTTAGAATGTTTCAATGCGTCCAGGTAATTTGGGGGGGGGCATACTGGCATCGCGCTAACACTGCTGCCGCAAAGCAAGTCAACCCTGGGTTCGATTTCCGACTCGGGCGCCTTTCTGTGCGGAGTTTGCATCATCTCCCCGTGCTCTGCGTGAGTTTCCTCCGGATTCTCCAGTTTCCTCCCCATAGCTAAATACACGCACAATGCCACTGGTATTGGCCAAACATCACAATGCCGCATAATGTACCTGCAAATTACTGAATGTGGACTTACACAGCAGCAGCAGCGACATCGCCCCCGACTGCAAAACGTTAGCAGGACCCTACTGAAAAAGAGTTTTGAGACTCAGCGAGGCTTTGGTGCTGCTGCTGCTGCCCAGTGTGAGTGTGGTACCGCAGCTTGACGCAGCTGCCCAAACATTGCCCCAGTGGATCAGGGCCGATACCCAGGGTGAAATGTCGCCAACACAATGACTTGGAAGGTGGGGTTGGTGAGTCGAGCAGGGATGGGAGTCGTGAATCACCGATTTTTTTGTGAAATGCCACAACGCACGCGATGCAATAACGCAGTGCGTTAGAGGGAGAAGTACAGCAAGTGGAATTATGGCCTTTCTCTGAATGGCCCGTGTGTTCTCCGCCTGTGTGTTGATTTCTTGTAGACACTAAGTTTATCCCACACACGAAATTTAAAAATAATTCCGCAAGGAATTCGTGCAGAGAGCACACAGGACCCTTGTGATGTCCGTTTGCAACTCAAGTCTCCCTTGCAAGAGACACTTGTAATCTTAATGGGCTCTCACCTGCTCACAAAGGTCGCGTCTGTCTGGCGAAGAGCGCTCGCGATGACTCACCGAGGCGTCGCTGGCTGCAGTCGCCATGCCACTCGAGGCCGCAGTCTCCGCTAACCGCAGTGGTAACCACAGCGGTAACCACAGCGGTAGCGACAGTGGTAACCACAGCGCACAGTGGTAGCCACAGCGGTAACCACAGCGGTAACCACAGTGGTAACCACAGCGGTAACCACAGCGGTAACCATAGTGATAACCACAGTGGTAGCGACAGTGGTAACCACAGTGGTAACCACAGCGGTAACCACAGCGGTAACCACAGTGGTAGCCACATCGGTAACCACAGTGGTAACCACAGTGGTAACCACAGCGGTAACCACAGTGGTAGCTACAATGGTAACCACAGCGGTAACCACAGTGGTAGCGACAGTGGTAACCACAGTGGTAACCTTAACGCACATCAGTAACCTTAACACACAGCGGTAACCTTAACACACAGCGGTAACCTTAACACACAGCGGTAACCTTAACACAGCGGTAACCTTAACGCACAGCGGTAACCTTAACACACAGCGGTAACCTTAACACACAGCGGTAACCTTAACACACAGCGGTAACCTTAACACACAGCGGTAACCTTAACACAGCGGTAACCTTAACGCACAGCGGTAACCTTAACACACAGCGGTAACCTTAACACACAGCGGTAACCTTAACGCACAGCGGTAACTTTAACACACAGCGGTAACCTTAACACACAGCGGTAACCTTAACACACAGCGGTAACTACGGAACGCTGTCGCCGCTAATTGCAGCACACAGCGGTAACCGCAGCGTCCCATCCTCGCGTCGCTCGCTGGCCGCTCTCGGGGCCGTTCCGTGGCCTCGTCTGGCTGAGCGCTGGGGCCCAGCGCAGGCCGAGCCACCTTCCCAGGTTGTTTACATTCCTGGCCGGGTCTGTTAATTCACTCCATTCCCGTGCGCCGCACGAGGTTCGGGTTACGAGCTGCTCCTGCTCCTGCTGCTGTTGCCGCGTGCGGAGGGAAGGGCCAAGGCGGTGCTCCCAAGGCACTCTTCTTGTTTACTTGGCTTGGATGAGTTCGCATGCGGTCACGTGTGGTGTAGAGATATCAGTGGGGGGATCCGGAGAGGTGTGGGATGGGGGTGATCGCCCCCCCCACAACCCTGCTCCTTGATGCCCTGAAAGATTTGAATGTCATTGATATTAAGCAGAGAAATTCATTGAATGGTCTGTCTATATAATGTGTGCGGTGGTAACCTGCGCACATTACAGACCCGTCTCTGGTAGTGGCGTAACGACCCTTCCACGGGGCCCGGGTTCGCACGGAGCGTGAACGCATCTCGGCTCATGCGGAGCGATACGTTCCGAGCGTACGAAGTGGGAATCCCTCGGCGTGACGCCGACTCGTTTCCGTGGTGCCCCCCGAGCGAGGCCGCCGCCCGGCAGTGACCCCGCTGGGCCCAGGGGTCGAAGCGCGGCCCCGGGCCCCGAGTAAACCCGTCGGGCGCTCGAGCCGCTGCGTCTGTGGCCCTCCAACCCTCGTGGAAGTCACTCTCAATGGTCGCGTGAGAGAGTGAGAAGCCCCCTCGCGGGATTGAGACCATCGGGGTTTCGTAGCGAGGACTTTTGTCTCCGCCTCGAGCGTGGATCCCAGCCGCGCAGGCTGCGTGTGGGATCCGTGCCGGCTCCGTGCTGGGCACGATCGACTCCCGGTGACCTCTCTGAGCGGGCGACCTGCGTGGGTACAGACGTGGGCACCTTGAGTCAATAGGAGGCAGCAGGAAATTCCCGCATTACCGCATTACCGTCGCAACGTAATTCTCCCGCTCCTCATCCCCCCACCCTTCCACTGCTCTCAAACGCCAGCGGCACGGAGCTGGCGTCCCGTGCCCAGTGGAAACCCCCGGCTCGCACCGCCTCCGATCCACTTACTCGGCCTAAGCCACCGTCCATTGAGAAGTTCCAGAGGAAAGGCTGCAAGCAGGACCGGATTAAGATTCTGTAGGCCTAAAGGGTTACAGGTACTGTGAGGCCCGCCCAGTAATATTTTCCAAAGGAAAACAAAGTTAAAGAAAATAAAAACATTTACAAGGCTAACAACAAATAGAATTCAGCATTCACAAGTGAAATAATTTTTCACTTCATCTCTGGAGGCCCTCCAGCTGGCGGAGGCCCCTGTGCTGCAGCCCCTAAAGCCTCGTGCCTTAATGCGGCCCTGGCTACAAGCACATCCGATACAGCCAAACTTGTTGTTGTCATTATTATCAGTGGTATCGTTACATTGGGTAGCCCAGGAAGACCTCGCCGTGTCCCAAGCAGGCTCAGGTGCTCACCAGACGAAGCTGCTGTACGGCCTCCCCTCGTGTCTCTGGGGTCCGTAACAGCAGCGGCACTTCGCAGCAGGGCCAGCTGGAAGAGATAACCGCCCCCGTCAGAGGAATGTGGAATTTACACCGCTGGCTTAGAGATGCCCATTTGTGCGAGCGCTGTCAATTTGAGCAAGGGGACGCTTCCCTGGACAAATTCTTAGCCAAGGAAGAGATTTGGCTTTGGTCAGATGAAGTGGAAAGGCGAATGTAACAGTATTGCTCTTTTTGTGCAATCGTATTTGCCCCGGCAGAGGCGGCCACTAAAGGGGGACTGGACGTGAAAATAAAACTAAACTATTTTTTATTTCGCCAGGTAAGGCCCACCGAGCTATGTAGCTCTTTTTCAGAAGCGACCTGGCTACCACAAATGATAGCTCAACGAAAGCGGCTTATCATGTGGAAATTTATAGCAGCCAAATACTCTTAATGTACGTTTCTAAATGTGTTTGGGAAAAACCGGAGCACCCGGAGAAAAATCCACGTGACCACCGGGAGAACACGCAAAACATCAAATATATGGGCATCAGGGTTAGGATCGAACCCACAACCTCCTGTATACCAGGCGAGGCAATTAACATTTCGCCAACGTGGCTTCACAGGAAAGTACCCCAGTCAGGAATCGAACCACCGTGCCACCCTGTCGCCCACGAGAACACCACGTCAGCATCACGTGGAAATAGCAGCAGCCTACTACTCTGAACGCGTGATGTTGATTCTTCTAAATACGTGAGCTCCAGGTTTAACCTCTGGGCGGGGCGGGGGAGGGCCTGCGATGGGTCCCAAATCCGCGCCGTGCGCGATGAACGCCTCCAGCCCAGCATCCAGTTCCGCATCGCTCAATCAACACACAGAGAGACGATGCTCTCGCCGCCTATTGTTGGTGTTGTTGTTCTGAAAGCGAGAGTGTGGATGAATCTGTGAGCGGATTTCTGCTCCGGGGGAGAGGACTCACACGGCGCTTTTGCCAGCCAGCAGCTGATCAAAGAGAGAGGGGGGGGGGGAGCAGGTTGATGAACTGTGTAAAAAATTGTGAATGAAAATTACAATCCTGTAATCGTAATAAATAACGGATCGGAATGAAATCGCGTTTTATTTTCAGGTGTGTTTGCATGTCAAATTCCCTTTCGTGGATTCGTTAAATATTTCGTGCAGTATCATTATTGATGCATTTGCAGCGTTCGCTGAGTAGTTTAGGGTGCTGCAGTGGTAACACTGGTGACTCCCGACTCGGGCACCTTTGTGCGTGTGTAGTGTGTGCGTTCTCCCCCTGCCCTACTACACGGAGCTCCTCCGCGTTCCCCAGTTTCCTCCGAAAGCTAAAGCAAAAACACACACACACACACGCCATGTAACTGGTATTGGCCAAACATCCTAATGCTGAAATATTGCCTGCAAATTACTCACTTGGGATCGCACAGCAGCGGCCGCGGCAACGTCGGCCCCCCGACTGGGATAACTTGGCAGGACGCTGCGGAAAAAAGGGAGTCTCGAGACTCGGCGATGCTTTCCGGGGTAAACGAGAGTGGAATGACGATAATAGGTCAACAGGTTTAACACGTCGGCTTTCGCGACCAAAATGATCCAACTCTGGCTGTCGCCAACTCTGGCTGTCGACTGATGAGGCTGGTTGTAATTACCAGCGAAACGTCGTACTCGAATTGTAAATTGTGTGGGTTTACTCTCCAACATACCGGTGTGCTGCACTAGTAGCGAATTGGCACGTTTTGTTTACGTGACGAACCTTACTAATTCACTGTATCGGGTGGTGTTGGGTTCAATGACACATTTATATTTATGTGATCTAATCCTAAAAAACACCTTTATTAAGGTCACCGGGTATCGATCTGCCTGAGAACACGCGGCTGCGGTGGCGTAGCGGTTAGCGGCCCGCACTGCGAACCCGGCGACCCGAGTTCGATTCCCGCGCACGGCCAAACACCAGTGACGATTACCTGAACCGGTCCTGAGCCTCTTCCCCTAGGTCGACTCAGCCTCAAATGAGTACCAGGTGCGGTGTGAAAATATTGCCACTGGGGAGACAAAGGCGGTTGGGCGTGGTGCTGGCCACAGACCCCCTCGCGTCCTGTGCGGACCTTCATAGGTTCTCGCTAAAAGCACTTGCCCTAACATCCTGTGAAGGCTATACGAGGGATCTTTGTCTTTGTCTTGCTCTCAAATCCTCTCAGCTGTGGGATCGATGATGACGTGGTGGCACGATCATTCTAACTTTGACCTATGTTGTGTAAACGATGCTGCATTATAATATTGCTTTGCTTGTGTTTCTTAAATATTGTGTAAATTCAATCATGGCTGTTGTGTTTCCTGTTTCCTCTAACAATGTGTTCTCTCATATCAATTCCGGCCTCGATCACAGTGCCATGCCCTGTAATAAATGTCTTCCACTTTATAAACCTGAGTTCACTCATCATTGTTTTCAAATCGCCGTGCTTATTCCAATCATCTCGGTCATTCAAAACCTATCCAGTATTGATTTTAGTTTTGCCTCCTCTGACACTCCACTGATTTATTGATCAGGTTATTCTCTCCTTGCTCGGACTCGAGGGTGCGGGCCCGGCCTGACGCTGGCCTCTCTGCTTGTATCGGGTGTCGCCACGTGGCCTTCTCACGCCTGTGGGTAGCTTGCCAGTAGCGTGACGAGCGTGGGGGCACCAGGGGGCTGCTTTAACCCTCGCCCCCCACACCCCGGTCGCCAGAGCTACGGGTTGGGGCCCGCCTCGACAACCATTTTTTTTAATGAAAATGCTCAATGATGTGATTATGCAAGAGGAGCCGCGATGTTTAGCCTCGGTGCGACCGTGCGATACAATTCAAATATTGTGGGCCCCACCTGACCCATTGCAGCACCCACTGAGCTGATGATGTAGCCACTGGTAGCTGCCCAAGCGTGGCCCGGCTGCTGTTCAGACCCAACGCCATTCAAATGCAGGGGCCATCGTTATTCCAATATCTCAGCAAGAATTCAACATGTAACAAAAAAACCGAACGCTTACCCACAACTTTCTAGTGTGTAGAATGGATACGATGAATACTCTCCGATCCGATCATTGTCCGGGTCGCAGATAATGCAGCTCCGTGAGATACTTCTCACCTGCGTAGATAAAGGCCACCATTGACGTGATTGATTAACTGGAATTGAAACCAAAAATTCGATTTGTGAAGCCACTTTTGAAATCGCCGTCCCCCCCCCTCATTACAAGAAGTGCGGGGGTGGGTGGGGGGGCGGGGGGGGGGGGCGGGGGGGCGGGGGGGCGGGTGGGGGGCGGGGGGGGGCGGGGGGGGGGCGTCTTCCGTGTGACCGCCGCCGCGTCAATGGAGCCGTCCACGGCGCAGGCACCGCGAGTCCCTGGGGGACAAAGGCCAGCGCGGGGCTGGGGGGTGGGGGTCGAGGGGGTGGGGTGCAGGATGCGGGGCCTCCCGGGCAGGAGAGAGAGGTGGGGGGGGGGCGGCCTGGGGTAGGGGGGGGGGGAGAGATGAGCTGGGAGCGTGGGGGATCTGTGGGCTCTAAGGGGAGAGAGAGAGGTGGTGGGGGGGGGGAGAAGCTGGCCGCATTGAGGCCCATGTGGAAATATGTTTTGTGTTATGGCCTTAATGACCGGGTCAGTGCCCCCCGGGGTCACGCATCTGAAGAATTCTGCTTGGTCAAGGGCCGGATTACTCACACACACACACGCGCACACACACGCGCTCACTGACATACTCTCATCATACAACTCACGCATACATACATACACACATATATCAACGTAGAAGGACAAAGACAAATCCTTTAAGAGGCTGGGGCGGCACGTGCTGTTGGCGAGCACCTATTAAGGCCAGAACAGCGTACGAGGTTTTGGGTGGCCGGCACCACCCCTGCCGCCTTGATCTCCCCAATGCTGATGTACAGGATACACGCTGCACCAGGTACTCATTTAAGGCTGAGACGACCTAGGAGAGTCACACATGTTCATCACCGAGCTTGACTTTGAGGGGGAATCGAACTCAGGACGCCGGGTTGGTAATGCAGCGCGCTAACCACTGCGCCACCGCTCCCCACTATACACACACGAAACAAAGACAAAACCCCCCCGTATTGCCTTAACAGACTGAAGGGGCAAGTGCTGTTAGCGAGCATCTATAAAGGCCGGTACGGTACACGAGGGAGTGGGGTGGCCAACACCACGCCCGGCCGCCTTTGTCTCCCTAGTGGCGAAGTTTACACATCGCACCAGGTACTCATTTGAGGCTGAGTCGAACTAGGGGAGGTCCAGGACCGGTTCAGATAATCGTCACTGGTGTTGGCCGTGAGCGGGAATCGAACCCGGGTCGCCAGGTTCATAGCGCAGCGCGCTAACCGCTACACTACCGCTCCCCACACTGACACACACAGACACACACTGACACACACTGACACACACAGACACACACTTGCGCGCACATTCACGAGCGGCATGCCTGCACGCACAGAGGCAATGATTCCCCCTTTGCCCTCAACAGGCTGTAGGGGCACCAACAACGACCGGGCCACACGCACGGCTGCCCGCGCCGTGCACACTAAGTGGCGGCGACGTCACCACGGCGCTTGTACCAGGCTAGGTGTACTTGGAGGCCACGTGAAGGGTGGAATGCTCGCTGCTGGCAGGAGGTCACGGGACAGACCCAGGTGCAATGGGTTGAGTGAGATGGCTGGCAGACGCACCACCTGTGCTCCACGCTTTGCCAACTTGCTGCCTTGCATCGGTCCGGCGATCCGCTCGTTGTTGTGAGAGTCTACGATGTTGTTGGAGGGCGACTGCCTCCAACTGTTCTAGATTTAAAGCTTTCGTGACTGCTAGGATCCATACTCTTTGGTTCTATTGGGTAAAGTCACGTAGGTGAAGATAAAATAACAAAAAAATTAACAAAAAATCACGACGTTTCGGCCACAACACAAGCGGCCTTCATCCCTTCACGCGGTACAGGAGGCCGCTTGTGTTGTGGCCGAAACGTCGTGATTTTTTGTTAATTTTTTTGTTATTTTATTTTCACCTACGTGACTTTACCCAATAGAACCAAAGAGTATGCCTCCAACTGCCCAGCAGCGTCCTGGGTCGTGACGGTTTTCATATGCTGCTGTACCGTTACCGTTGTGCTACGATGTGCACTGATGCATACTTTATTGAGGGCGATATTGACAAATAAATTAAGATTGATTGATTCATGAACCTCCTCCAGAGAGACCCTTCTTGGCACCAGTCTACGGCAAGTCCACACAGCTCCACATCCTCCTGTACCGCATCAGCTCATCTATTCTCTAGCCCAAAGCCGCGTCCGCTTAGCCCCCTGCACACACACACACACACAGAGACGCACTTGTTCAGAGAGCTGCATAAAACACCGCAGCGATTGAGACAGTGGAGTCAATGTTATCCGTGGAATGAAAACATGCAACACGGCTTTTTTATATATACGTCATCCACGTTCGTTTCGGTGAACGTTCGCTCGCAGCTTTGATATGTGCGTGCGTATTGTGCAGAGCAGGGCAACACGGGGCCAGGGTTCGGCAAGACAAAACAAATAATAAGCAGAGCAATTGTCTCCCAATTCGGTAAAAAAGCCCCTCAATATTTCAAGAGCCGCAATGCCACGTGGTGAAGACAAGACGGTGTGGTCCTGAATGGACGACGTCACGAAGCCACGTAGTGAAGACAAGACGGTGTGGTCCTGAATGGACGACGTCACGAAGCCACGTGGTGAAGACAAGATGGTGTGGTCCTTGATGGACGACGTCACGAAGCCACGTGGTGAAGACAAGACGGTGTGGTCCTGAATGGACGACGTCACGAAGCCACGTGGTGAAGACAAGACGGTGTGGTCCTGAATGGACGACGTCACGAAGCCACGTGGTGAAGACAAGACGGTGTGGTCCTGAATGGCCGACGTCACGATGCCACGTGGTGAAGACAAGACGGTGTGGTCCTTGATGGACGACGTCACGATGCCACGTGGTGAAGGCTAGACGGTGTGGTCCTGAATGGACGACGTCACGAAGCCACGTGGTGAAGACAAGATGGTGTGGTCCTGAATGGGCGACGTCACGATGCCACGTGAAGACAAGACGGTGTGGTCCTGAATGGACGTCACGAAGCCACGTGGTGACAAGACGGTGTGGTCCTTGATGGACGACGTCATGAAGCCACGTGGTGAAGAAAAGACGGTGTGGTCCTTAATGGATGACGTCACGAAGCCACGTGGTGAAGACAAGACGGTGTGGTCCTTGATGGACGACGTCAGGAAGCCACGTGATGAAGACAAGACGGTGTGGTCCTTGATGGACGACTTCACGATGCCACGTGGTGAAGACAAGACGGTGCGATCCTTGATGGACGACGTCACGAAGCCACGTGGTGAAGACAAGACGGTGTGGTCCTTGATGGACGACGTCACGAAGCCACGTGGTGAAGACAAAACGGTGCGATCCTTGATGGACGACGTCACGAAGCCACGTGGTGAAGACAAGACGGTGCGATCCTTGATGGACGACGTCACGAAGCCACGTGGTGAAGACAAGACGGTGTGGTCCTTGATGGACGACGTCACGAAGCAGTCCTTAAAGAGGCACACGTCGCTCCTCAGTCGCAGGTTGCCGACCACTGCATGAGGCCAACGCACACACACACACGTACACACACGTACACACAAGCACACACACAAGCACATTTGAGCACATTTGATTGGTCCACACCCGAGACAGCTTTTCTTAGAGCCTCTAAGAAGAGCCTCTGGACCAATCAAATTCAAGGACAGTGCATATTATTATCAGAGTTGTCTTTTTTGTTTGCATTTTGACTGCTTGTGTTGTGGTCATTGCAAACATGATGCCTTGAATAAAGGTGTCAGTTTTTGTGCCAGTTAAAAAGGGTAAAACCTATTCCTATATCTTGTTTCTGGCAAAGAAGGTCTCATAATGTTAAGATGACTCTATGCCGAGGGGCCACTTTAGCCAGCACCTGTGACAGGAGGTCATAGAAGGCATCTGACTCATCGATCTTGCCTGCATCCCTCCACGGATGCTCGTCTTCGGTGGGGACATAAGTAACCATGACCACCACTCCTCGCCTCTGGTTGATGGGAAGGCGAGCCCAAAGTAGCCTGGGACTTACAGCTTCCTACACCTCACCGCCACGCTCCCACGCCCCTTCATTCTTTTGTTCAGAAGAAGAGCCACTCCCTGTTTTTTGGCAGTCTCCTGCCCCGAGTAGAGGACTGTCCACCCCTCATGGTGGCAGGAGCCAGAGCCAGTTCACCGGACCTCCTGAACACCACAGAGATCCAGGGGGTACCGGTCCAGCTCCCGACAGAGGAGTGGCAGCCTTTCCTCCGCAGTGAGCATTCGAACATTCCACGTAGCCATCCGAAGTGGCTTTTTGTTTCTGGAGGAACCCCAAGGGTAAGGATTCATTCTCCTGGCTCCGCTAAATGGGGTTTGACCAGGAGACGTCAAAGATGCCAGTCCCCCCGGGGCCTCCGGCACAAGCTTCAAAAGTTTTTTACATCGTAGTTTAGTGGTAGCTAATTGAAGGTGGAGGGGTTGCCAGCCCCTCGCACCCGTCCAGAGCCCCCATTTGGCCGCTGTGGTGGTTACAAACGCCATGAAGGGAAAGGCCAATCTAAATTGTCCCTCCCCCCACGGCACTGCCCACCACAGCGTTGCCGTCTGGCACCACACCACTAGGTAGGGGGTTGTTTTTGCACACACGCACACACACACGCACGCACACACACGTGTGAACACTTCACACATGACATAGACAGACTAATTTCCCCCGTAGAACAGACTTTTTGGGCAAGTGCTGCTAGCGTGCAGCACCAATGAAGGCCGCTAAACCCGTGCCCAAAAACGGCAAGTACAGGCACAAGGACAAAGACCCCCCGTAGAACCTTAACAGACTTTTGGGGCAAGTGTTGTTAAGCTAACACGACACACGAGGGTTGCCAGCGCCCACGCCCGGTCGCCTTTGTCTCACTCGTGGAAATGTTTAAACATCGTACCAGATACTGTACTAATTTGTGGCTGAGTCGAGCTAGGGGAGGCACAGGACCGGTTCAGAAAATCGTCACTGTTTATTTGTGCCACGAGCGGGAATCGAACTCGGGTAACCGGGTTGGTAGCACAGCGCGCGCTAACCGTTACACCACCGCTCCCCAGCACCACACACACACGCATCGTCGTGAACAAAAACAAACGCACGCGAACAACAACAACAACAGCAGCTGCCAGTCGCCACTAAGCAGCATCGACACCACCGCTGCACGCGTGCCAAGCTAGGTTCACTGTGAGCCCCCGCCTCCCCGCCCTCCCCCCAGGAGTGGTGAATGTCCTGTGGTCGTGGCACAGACCCAGATGGTGCGGCTTAGCAGGCCGGGATGATGCTGGGCAGCTGCACCTCACTCGTTCCCCAACAATCCGAGCTGCGCGCATTCCGCGTCGCCTGCCGCCACTCGCTGATTTCTCCGGACGCTGTGGGCGCATTTCTCTCCTTTGGCTGCCATTCTCTGGCCAGTCTTGTCCATCGGCTCTCATCTCTTCTGGCGATGTCGTGTCCTGATCCACGTGTCCTTCTCTCTCTCTCGCTCGCTCGCTCACAAAGAGTAGAACTCTTAGAGGATCGCCGCTCGTGTATGTTGAGCTCTTACGAACGCAGACCGAGGGCACGACCCGCGCCTTGGGGAATGCGTGAACCGCGTTGCAAACACGTGGCAGGGTCCCCGCTGCCAGCGCTGGGAGCATTGCCCAGACGACGCGTCGCTGTGCACGTGACTCGAGCAACACCTCGTCATCGTCAACGCAGCAAGGAAATCACGGGACCCCCCCAGCAGGGGACCCGGTCAGGGGACCCCCAGCAGGGAACCCGGTCAGGGGTTCTTAGAGGGGGTGAACTTTTGCTCACTCGTGCCAAGCAAAAACAAAACAAAAACCCCATCATAATTGTAGTTCAGAATGTTACAAATGTGAATTCAGTCCGGAGGGTTTATTGGGGGCGCTGATAAAAAGGGCATTACGTGGCCTTACTATGGAAAGATCGGTACTAGCAGCAAGGGGCGAACGTCCGGTCAACGTTACGCGACTCCTCGCAAGGGTCACCGAATCTCATATCAGCGGATCAGCTCCGCCGATTTGTGCAGGTGTTTGACATTATCTTGTTTGTGTGTTAACTGAAAACTGGAGCAATCTAAGCTGGGAGAAATCTTCAAAAGAAGCACACTCGAGACGAACAGCACGCGGAGTGAGGAGTCAAACTCCAGCAAGGGGAGCAAGTCCGTGAGGTCGTCCGGCACAGAGACGGAGCGGTGAAATCAGCGCACGTGTGCAGGAGCTGGAGCCGTCGTATTTGCAATACGGGGTGGTTACGTTGATTGCGTGGAGATGCCTTCATCCAGCAGTGAATGGATCATAGCTTTTGAATTGATTTAGTTTGTTATTCTTCCCCGATTAGCACTGTCGGCCACGTACGGTGTAAAAGAAGTTAAACATGCATACACACTGCATAGCGTCCTCGACTGTAGCCACGTGCAGCCCCTTCTGGATTAGCGCCGTCCCGCGCCGTGCGGATCGTGGGGGTCATTCGACCATACTTCACCACGCGGATCATAGCGCGTTGGCCAAGGCAGGGGAGCATAGACGCGGACGCGTAGTGCAGTACAACTCTGTTTTTTTGCTGTTTATCCGCACAGCTCCGTGTCGCTCCTGCCTCCCCCCCCCGACGTGTCCCCGCGAGCGCTGTAGCGACTTGTCTGTGGTGCCCTCCGCTCGCAGGCACTCGCCAGGCTCTGCCCCTGCTTGGCTTACGAGGTGCTGGCGAGGTCGGGGCGCACTCAGCGCGAGCTGCTGCCGCCGCCGCCGCTCACTCGCCTCTTCGGTGGCGCGGCCGGGACACCCGGGCGCCCAGCGAGCAGTCGCCCACGTCCCGATGCTCGTTACGCAGCCCGTGCCCCCCTCCACGTGCGGGTCGTGCCCCCCCCAATCCCCCCACGTGCGGCCAGTGCCCCCCCCCTAACCCCCCCACGTGTGGCCCGTGCCCCCCCCTTCCGTCCCCCACGTGCGGCCTGAGCCCCGGGTCGTGCGGCCCCCTTGGGCCGAGCGCGCGAGGAGACAGGGGGGGGGACACCGCTGCCGTTCGCGGACACGGCACCACCACCACCATCACCACCACCACCACGGCGTGGTGTGACCGTGGGTGGCCCCGGACCACACGGTAGTGCCGGCTAACGAGGGGGTGGGTGGCTGGTGGCGTGGGGGTGCCCGGAGTTCTGCCTTGAGCCCTAATTCCCTAATCGGGAGTCAATGTGCAGTCACAGCTGGCACGGATTTGGCAGCAAGGGGAAGGTGGCACGGAGTCTCGTGGTGCGTGGAGAGACGCGCCGAGCCCACCCCCCCCCCCTCCCTGCGACTCCCGCGTGAGCCCCTCCGCAGCTGCCCCCGGCCACCGCACGCCCGCCATGACAGGATACAACCTCTGCCTGGCGCTGAGTGCATTCTGTCGCGTGGTCCGCCTCAGGAGGGCTGACATCGCCCGTTCGGCACCTCAACACCGTGACCCGTCATCACGCGCCGAGCACTTGACCTGGTCTCGTCGCTTCATCTCCGCAGTGGTCGGGTTCTCACACGCGGTTCCACCCCTGTGGCTGCCACTCCATCACCAGCAGTGGTGTAGTAACTACATTATCAGTGATGTAGTAACTACATAATGAGTGGTGTAGTAACTACATTATCAGTGGTGTAGTAACTACATTATCAGTGGCGTAGTAATCTACATTATCAGTGGTATAGTAACTACATTATCAGTGGTGTAGTAACTGCATTATTAGTGCTGTAGTAACTACATAATCAGTGGTGTAACTACATTATCAGTGGTGTAGTAACTACATTATCAGTGGTGTAGTACCTACATTATCAGTGGCGTAGTAACTACATTATCAGTGGTGTAGTAACTACATTATCAGTGGTGTAGTAACTACATTATCAGTGGTGTAGTAACGACATTATCAGTGGTGTAGTAACTACATTATCGGTGGTGTAGTAACTACATTATCAGTGGTGTAGTAACTACATTATCAGTGGTGTAGTAACTACATTATCAGTGGTGTAGTAACTACATTATCAGTGATGTAGTAACTACATTATCAGTGGTGTAGTAAACTACATTATCAGTGGTGTAGTAACTACATTATCAGTGGTGTAGTAAACTACATTATCAGTGGTGTAGTAACTACATTATCAGTGGTGTAGTAACTACATTATCTGTGGTGTAGTAACTACATTATCAGTGGTGTAGTAACTACATTATTAGTGGCGTAGTAAACTACATTATCAGTGGTGTAGTGACTACATTATCTGTGGTGTAGTAACTACATTATCAGTGGTGTAGTGACTACATTATCAGTGGTGTAGTAAACTACATTATCAGTGGTGTAGTAAACTACATTATCAGTGGTGTAGTAACTACATTATCAGTGGTGTAGTAACTACATTATCAGTGGTGTAGTAAACTACATTATCAGTGGTGTAGTAACTACATTATCAGTGGCGTAGTAATCTACATTACCAGTGGTGTAGTGACTACATTATCAGTGGTGTAGTGAATACATTATCAGTGGTGTAGTGACTACATTATCAGTGGTGTAGTGAATACATTATCAGTGGCGTAGTAACTACATTAACAGTGGTGTAGTAACTACATTATTAGTGGCGAAGTGAACTACATTATCAGTGGTGTAGTAACTACATTATCAGTGGTGTAGTGACTACATTATCAGTGGTGTAGTGACTACATTATCAGTGGCGTAGTAACTACATTAACAGTGGTGTAGTGACTACATAATCAGTGGTGTAGTAAGCTACATTATCAGTGGTGTAGTAACTACATTATCAGTGGTGTAGTGACTACATTATCAGTGGCGTAGTAAACTACATTATCAGTGATGTAGTAACTACATTATCGGTGGTGTAGTAACTACATTATCAGTGGCGTAGTAACTACATTATCAGTGGTGTAGTAACTACATTATCAGTGGTGTAGTAAGTACTTTAACAGTGCTGTAGTAACTACATAATCAGTGGTGTAGTAACTACATTATCAGTGATGTAGTAACTACATTATCAGTGGTGTAGTAACTACATTATCAGTGGTGTAGTAAACTACATTATCAGTGATGTAGTAACTACATTATCAGTGGTGTAGTAACTACATTATCAGTGGTGTAGTAACTACATTATCAGTGGTGTAGTAACTACATTATCAGTGGTGTAGTGACTACATTATCAGTGGTGTAGTAATCTACATTATCAGTGGTGTAAAAACTACATTATCAGTGGTGTAGTAAACTACATTATCAGTGGTGTAGTAACTACATTATTAGTGGCGTAGTAAACTACATTATCAGTGGTGTAGTAACTACATTATCAGTGGTGTAGTGACTACATTATCAGTGGTGTAGTAAACTACGTTATCAGTGGTGTAGTAACTACATTATCAGTGGTGTTGTAACTACATTATCAGTGGTGTTGTAACAACATTATCAGTCACCAGTAGTGTAACTAGCTACAGTAGTGTAACTCGCTACTGAGTCACCAGTAGTTTAACTAGCTACTGTAGTGTAACTAGCTACTGAGTCACCAGTAGTGTAACTAGCTACAGTAGTGTAACTAGCTACTGAGTCACCAGTAGTTTAACTAGCTATTGTAGTGTAACTAGCTACTGTAGTGTAACTAGCTACACTAGTGTTACTAGCTACTGAGTCACCAGTAGTGTAACTAGCTACTGAGTCACCAGTAGTGTAGCTACAGTAGTGTAACTAGCTACTGAGTCACCAGTAGTGTGACTAGCTACAGTAGTGTAACTAGCTACTGAGTCACCAGTAGTGTAACTAGCTACTGTAGTGTAACTAGCTACTGAGTCACCAGTAGTGTAACTAGCTACTGAGCCACCAGTAGTGTAACTAGCTACAGTAGTGTAACTAGCTACTGTAGTGTAACTAGCTACTGAGTCACCAGTAGTGTAACTAGCTACTGAGCCACCAGTAGTGTAACTATCTACAGTAGTGTAACTAGCTACTGAGTCACCAGTAGTTTAACTAGCTACTGTAGTGTAACTAGCTACTGTAGTGTAACTAGCTACAGTAGTGTAACTAGCTACTGAGTCACCAGTAGTGTAACTAGCTACTGAGTCACCAGTAGTGTAACTAGCTATTGTAGTGTAACTAGCTACTGTAGTGTAACTAGCTACTGAGCCACCAGTAGTTTAACTAGCTATTGTAGTGTAACTAGCTACTGTAGTGTAACTAGCTACTGAGCCACCAGTAGTGTAACTAGCTACAGTAGTGTAACTAGCTACAGTAGTGTAACTAGCTACTGAGTCACCAGTAGTGTAGCTACAGTAGTGTAACTAGCTGAGCCACCAGTAGTGTAACTAGCTACTGTAGTGTAACTCGCTACTGAGTCACCAGTAGTGTAACTAGCTACAGTAGTGTAACTAGCTACAGTAGTGTAACTAGCTACTGAGCCACCAGTAGTGTAACTAGCTACTGTAGTGTAACTAGCTACTGAGTCACCAGTAGTGTAACTAGCTACAGTAGTTTAACTAGCTACTGTAGTGTAACTAGCTACTGTAGTGTAACTAGCTACAGTAGTGTAACTAGCTACTGAGTCACCAGTAGTTTAACTCACTATTTTAGTGTAACTAGCTACAGTAGTGTAACTAGCTACTGAGCCACCAGTAGTGTAACTAGCTACTGTAGTGTAACTAGCTATTGTAGTGTAACTAGCTACTGTAGTGTGACTAGCTACTGAGCCACCAGTAGTGTAACTAGCTACAGTAGTGTAACTAGCTACTGAGCCACCAGTCTTGCCTATCGGCCATCTCGTGTCGTGTCTTGGCCGTGCCCGCTGACTCCCTCCAGCAAGTCTCCACGATGCCTCCTGTCTCCTCTCATCCACGTGGTCGTCGTCTTTCTCTCGGTGGCGATTCCCAGCACCCGTCTCTCTGTGCTCCTTCGCGCGCTGTTCACCGTCGGTTCCGCTCTCTTGGCCGCGTGTTCTGTCCTCGTGTCACAGCTGCCCGTGTCGCGCTCGGTTTCTCCTCGTTGTCAAATTCAGTCTCACAAACCACCCCAAAGGCCACTCTGGCAAATGAGACTTAATCACCCTCTCCACTTGGTTAGGGAAAATAAACTCAAATACAAATCCATCCTGCTCTTTGGAACGCTGCCTTAATTCGACTGAGATCTTTCTTCAAAATATTCCACACCGCGGCAATACCCTTATATAGGCGCACAACATTATCTATCTGTGATGAACGCTGAACTTTTCGTCGTTTTCATGCAGAGGGCACTGCAAAGCTACGCTACCCCTGCATGAACGACTCAGGCGCAGGGACAGACGTTCGATTACGTTGGCATCGATCTGCAGCCGGCGGTCTTCTCGCACAGCCAAATCTATGTCGCCTGATCTCGATCCCGCAATCCCAAACAGGTGAAAGTCCGCATCGAACCGAACCCCCAGCAAGGCCATCTACTTAACGACGAGGGAAAATTCGCACGAAATGTCGTTTTCAATGCGGTCTTCCAGATGTAAAATGAAATAAGCTTTTAATGAATAAATTAAATGATCTAATTCAAAACAATACAATTCAAAGATGTTTCATTTTAAAACTTCAAAACGGAGCATCGGGTGCTTGCGTGAATGCGTCGTTCGTGTGCAATTTTTTTTAGTGACTTTCCTGGCCGAAGGCCGTCAATGTTTGTGAAGGGCGCCACAGGCACCCCCGAACAACCCTAGTATCATAATAATAATCATGCCGCTGGGTATACGAAAGTGGTTTGCCCATGAGAGAGAGCGACAGAAAGTCACTCGCAGGTAGCTGGTGAGCTCTGCGTGCTTCTGACCTAGGCGGTGTTGGAAGTTATTTCCCCCATCAAGGGAACAGATCGTTGAGATTCTAGATTTAAAGCTTTCGTGACTGCAAGGATCCATACTCTTTGGTTCTATTGGGCAAAGTCCGGAGGACAGGTTGGTCCCTTCACCTGATGAAGGCCACTTGTGTTGTGGTCGAAACGTCGTGATTTGTGTTATTTTATTTTTTACCTACGTGACTTTACCCAATAGATCGTTGAGAGTTGGGCAGAGACCGAGTGCCCCACGCACACTCACACGTGGCAACGCGCCCCGTCCGATGATGAGTGGCTTACGCAGAGCAGCCCAGCAACACTCATTGCTCATGCACGCTCATCGCTTGGGGTGGCAGGCTGGAGTTAACACTCGTGTAGCCTCACAGCAGGACGAGCCTGGCTTCGATTTTGTATGCCTCCGCCCTCCTGTTCCGTGTGGGTTTCCTCTGACGTACAGCTGTGTAGGCCAAACATCCCAATGTAGCAGGACCCTCCTGAAAGAAAGTCTTAAGCTTAAATGTGCTTAATTCTCAGACACTGGAAGTTCAAATCTGTAAAAAAAAATAAACTATCACAACAGAATACATAATTCAGGCAGGAAACAATAGGATCCACGACTGATCAGAATTATATTTGAAACCAACGAGCAATTGACGAGTGTGCCGTACGGATGAGTCCCAGGAAGGGTGAAACCGATCTCCAGTTGTGACCTCGTACCACTGCTGCCACGTTCAGATGGCCACGTTTCCTCGACCCCTTCAGGCGGGGTCGGGGGGTGGCTGGGCAGCGGCTCTCCTGCGTCGGCTTCGCACCTTTGTGTCGCACACTGGAAGCATGCAAACACAACGGTGACATAACGCATTTTAGAATCAACATCACGCGTTTAGATTATTTGGCTGCTATACATTTCCACGCGATTAGCCGCTTCGTTTGAGCTATCGGTTTGTGGTCAGGTCGCTTCTAAGAAGAGCTACGTAGATTTCGTGGGGCCTCACCTGATGAAATAAAAAAAATAGTTTTATTTTGGCAGTGCATTGTAGGAAAGTCGTGACCTGCTTGCCCCCAAGCCCCCCCCCCTCCCAGCCCCCCCCAGCCCCCCCCAGCCCCCCCCCTCCACCCCCCGGGTCGCTCACCGGACACGGAGCGGCGGCTCCGGGGCCGTCACTTCCGGAATATCCCGTGACGCGCGCGCCGCGTGCCAGGTAGCGGAGCTCCGCGTGCCAGGTAGCGGAGCTCCGCGTGCCAGGTAGCGGAGCTCCGCGTGCCAGGTAGCGGAGCTCCGCGTGCCAGGTAGCGGAGCTCCGCGTGCCAGGTAGCGGAGCTCCGCGTGCCAGGTAGCGGAGCTCCGCGTGCCAGGTAGCGGAGCTCCGCGTGCCAGGTAGCGGAGCTCCGCGTGTGGAGCTCTTCGCTCTGCGGTGAAGTCAGCTGAAGAATGTCCGCGCCGTGATTGATTTCGTTTCGAGACGGGCCGCGGCGCAGCGTTTGGTAGGTTGTCGTTTTGTTGTTGAGACCCCCAGCCTCCAGCGCCCTTTTGACCTCTCTTGGGCCACGCCACTAAATCCGCGGGGATTAAATCCTGGCCGGAATCTGTTTGAAGTGTCGGCTGTTTTATTTGAAACTCGGAAGGAAAAAAATATATAAGAACAAGAAAACCACGAAAAAATTGTTGAGCGTGAGTGGAAGGAGGTGACAGAAAGAGAGACCGGGATGGAGACAGCGGGGAGAGGGGACGCGGAGGGGAGAGGGTTTGAGTGAAACGTCGAGGGTGTTTTTAGAGAGTGCGGGGAGCGGGGAGCAGGAGGGAGAGCGGCACATCTTTTTTCCCAACTGCACATCTTTCCACTCCACTGCTGAGCGAGGGGGTGCATTAGTTGAGGTGGCCTTAGGCCATGACCTCTGTGTGCGACGGCCGTCTCTTTTTGAAATTGAAAACAAAAAAATGTTAAAGGGTCCGCCACAGTGCGGGCCGTGGAGCGACGCCCGTGCCACCTCTATCGAGTCTCCCTCTCCCCCACCCTGACCCCGAGTCTCCCTCTCCTCCACCCCGAGTCTCCCTCTCCCCCACTCCACCCCGAGTCTCCCTCTCCCCCACCCCGAGTCTCCCTCTCCTCCACCCCGAGTCTCCCTCTCCCCCACCCCGAGTCTCCCTCTCCTCCACCCCACCCCGAGTCTCCCTCTCCCCCACCCCGAGTCTCCCTCTCCTCCACCCCGAGTCTCCCTCTCCTCCACCCCGAGTCTCCCTCTCCCCCACCCCGAGTCTCCCTCTCCTCCACCCCACCCCGAGTCTCCCTCTCCTCCACCCCGAGTCTCCCTCTCCCCCACCCCGAGTCTCCCTCTCCTCCACCCCACCCCGAGTCTCCCTCTCCTCCACCCCGAGTCTCCCTCTCCTCCACCCCGAGTCTCCCTCTCCCCCACCCCGAGTCTCCCTCTCCTCCACCCCACCCCGAGTCTCCCTCTCCCCCACCCCGAGTCTCCCTCTCCTCCACCCCGAGTCTCCCTCTCCTCCACCCCGAGTCTCCCTCTCCCCCACCCCGAGTCTCCCTCTCCTCCACCCCACCCCGAGTCTCCCTCTCCTCCACCCCGAGTCTCCCTCTCCCCCACCCCGAGTCTCCCTCTCCTCCACCCCACCCCGAGTCTCCCTCTCCTCCACCCCGAGTCTCCCTCTCCTCCACCCCGAGTTTCCCTCTCCCCCACCCCGAGTCTCCCTCTCCTCCACCCCGAGTCTCCCTCTCCTCCACCCCGAGTCTCCCTCTCCCCCACCCCGAGTCTCCCTCTCCTCCACCCCACCCCGAGTCTCCCTCTCCCCCACCCCGAATCTCCCTCTCCTCCACCCCGAGTCTCCCTCTCCTCCACCCCACCCCGAGTCTCCCTCTCCTCCACCCCGAGTCTCCCTCTCCTCCGAAACCCCGAGTCTCCCTCTCCCCCACCCCGAGTCTCCCTCTCCTCCACCCCACCCCGAGTCTCCCTCTCCCCCACCCCGAGTCTCCCTCTCCCCCACCCTGACCCCGAGTCTCCCTCTCCTCCACCCCGAGTCTCCCTCTCCCCCACTCCACCCCGAGTCTCCCTCTCCCCCACCCCGAGTCTCCCTCTCCTCCACCCCGAGTCTCCCTCTCCCCCACCCCGAGTCTCCCTCTCCTCCACCCCACCCCGAGTCTCCCTCTCCCCCACCCCGAGTCTCCCTCTCCTCCACCCCGAGTCTCCCTCTCCTCCACCCCGAGTCTCCCTCTCCCCCACCCCGAGTCTCCCTCTCCTCCACCCCACCCCGAGTCTCCCTCTCCTCCACCCCGAGTCTCCCTCTCCCCCACCCCGAGTCTCCCTCTCCTCCACCCCACCCCGAGTCTCCCTCTCCTCCACCCCGAGTCTCCCTCTCCTCCACCCCGAGTCTCCCTCTCCCCCACCCCGAGTCTCCCTCTCCTCCACCCCGAGTCTCCCTCTCCTCCACCCCGAGTCTCCCTCTCCCCCACCCCGAGTCTCCCTCTCCTCCACCCCACCCCGAGTCTCCCTCTCCCCCACCCCGAGTCTCCCTCTCCTCCACCCCGAGTCTCCCTCTCCTCCACCCCACCCCGAGTCTCCCTCTCCTCCACCCCGAGTCTCCCTCTCCTCCGAAACCCCGAGTCTCCCTCTCCCCCACCCCGAGTCTCCCTCTCCTCCACCCCACCCCGAGTCTCCCCCACCCCGAGTCTCCCTCTCCTCCACCCCGATTCTCCCTCTCCTCCACCCCGAGTCTCCCTCTCCCCCACTCCACCCCGAGTCTCCCTCTCCCCCACCCCGAGTCTCCCTCTCTCCCACTCCACCCCGAGTCTCCCTCTCCCCCACCCTGACTCCGAGTCTCCCTCTCCTCCACCCCGAGTCTCCCCAACCCCCACTCCACCCCGAGTCTCCCTCTCCTCCACCCCGAGTCTCCCCAACCCCCACTCCACCCCGAGTCTCCCTCCACTCCGCTCCACACGCCGCTCTCTTGTCTCCACGGTGTCAACAGAGTTCAACTCACACCGCCGCCCGCACAATGTCTTTGTGGGTGAAGCGCCACAGCATTTCTCGTCGAGGATCATAAACCATCATCATACGAACTCCGGCCATCCTCGCAACACCAACCATTGCAAGGCATGAGTGATGATTGGGCTGCGGTGCCCCTAACCAGGAGTTGAACTCTGCGGGAACTCAACCGTGGTTGACGATGTCTCGAGGAGCATCCTCGCAGCGGATTTTAGCTCGCCATCGAACAAAGACGCTCACCGCTTTCAGATGCGCTTCTGCGGCCGTCTGGAACGCTCTTCCTTCAGATATTAGGGAGCCACTGGAGCTATGCACTTTTAAATCTAGATTGAAAACTCATTTCTTTATAACTGCTTTTTATGTTTTGGCGTTGGCTACGCACGGTACGAGAGAAGTTCAACATGCATACAGTGCATTGAAGCCCTTAACGTGGCCATTGAACGCGTAGGGACAACGTGTGGTCTTGCCACAGCCACACCTATGAAGATCACACACAACAGCAGCAGCAGCAGAAAGATCGCCCCCTCCTGTGAGTACTTGGCAGGACCCTCCTGAAAACGAGTCTCGAGACTCGGCGAAGTTTTCTTTGGTAGACAAGCGTGAAAATAATCATCATCATCATCATAAAGGCAAACCCGAGGTCACTCTGCTGTGCTGGGAGTGGCGGAGTCACCGCGAGGTTTGTGGGGTCGGTCGCGTCACTCGGAATCCGGTCGTGGAGGGGGTGGAGGGGGCATGGCAGGGACACGGGGGTGAGGGGGAGACGAGAGGACACCGCGGTGGGGAGAGAGTGGGAGTAGAGGGAGTGCAGGGAGGTGGGGGGTGGAGGCTTTGGCGTTGGACAACAAGAGGCATGGCGGCAATGAGGAAGAGATACTGGGAGATCATTAAGTGGGAGCAGAGGGGAAGAGGGATAGAGAGAGCGAGGAGGGGGGACACGAATACAGAACGAGAAGATCGAGAATGAGTGAGAGGGAGCGTTAGGCGCAGAGGGGAGGGGGTTGGTGGGCGAGTCGTGGGAGGCAGTGAAAGGAAAGGGGATGGAGGAGGGGCTGAGAGAGAGAGAGGGGGGAGGTGACGGGCGGGGGGGGCAGAAAGAGAGAATTGGAAAAGCGTTGGAGGAGTGGAGGGAGGGAGAGGAGGAAATAAAGGAGAGGGATGGGGGTGAAAGGGGGGGCGGGGGGGGGGGGGCTGCTTCGCCATGGTTGCTTGATAGTGCATGGCTAATTGTTTTAAAGCTCCCTCCTGTAACAGCCCGGGCGCACACCCCGAGCTTCGGCGTGGCTTCTCTGCGGATAATTTGCAAGAAATAAAGAAAGGGGAAGGGTCCCGTGGCGGGGCGAGGGAGCGGCCTGCGCCGAGACCACACGCAGCAGCAGCAGCAGCTCCACACGCAGCAGCAGCAGCTCCAGACGCAGCAGCAGCAGCTCCAGACGCAGCAGCAGCAGCAGCAGCTCCACACGCAGCAGCAGCAGTAGCAGCAGCAGCTCCACGCGCAGCAGCAGCAGCTCCAGACGCAGCAGCAGCAGCTCCACACGCAGCAGTTCCACACGCAGTAGCAGCTCCACACGCAGCAGCAGCAGCCCGTGCCATTGTTGGCACGGGCTGCTATGGGGAAGTTGCAACTCGGGGTTGTCTTAAGACGCACTGTGTCCCCTGTTTAGAGTACCCTGCGGCCCCGACGTCCACCGTGGTGGACACCGCGATGTTGGCACCGTGGTGTCCACCGCGATGTTGGCACCGTGGTGTCCACCGTGATGCCCACCGTGATGTCTACCGTGGTGTCCACCGCAATGTTGGCACCGTGGTGTCCACCGTGATGCCCACCGTGATGTCTACCGTGGTGTCCACCGCGATGTTGGCACCGTGGTGGACACCGCGATATTGACACCGTGATGTCCACCGTGATGCCCACCGTGATGTCTACCGTGGTGCACACCGCGCTGTCCAGCGTGGTGCACACCTTGGTGCACACCGTGGTGGACATCGTGATGTCCACCATTATCTCCACGTAGAAGCGTTGGAGACCCCCACCGTTGTTAGTTCCACGCCACTCCTGCCCCGCGCGACCGCCTCTGTTTAAACCGGGCAGAGCTGCCCGGTCCGATCGTTGCCGCCCAACACTAAAGCTGTGCCGATCGAGCTGGGGGGGGAGGGGGAAATCGATTTGCTTTGAACTGGTTCGTGATGGCGAGTCTTCTCAATGCGACATCACGGTCCTCATCAATGTTTCGCCGCAGAAGGTGCCACCGCTTTAGAGCCGATGTCTGTGAGAATCTCGGCGGCTATGAGAGGCGACGTGGAGAGTCTGTGGCGAGCGAGACGTCCCGCCGAGCCTTCAATCAACGACGGGGGAGACGCCGTGAAGTAGCGGAGGCTGTGAGGACTTTATTACGGTGGCCGCGGGGGCTAGGAGATGTTAACTACCTCGCCTCGTATACGGGAGGTCGTGGGTTTGATCCCGACCCTTACGCCAATATATTTGGAGTTTGCGTGACTCTCTATCTCTCTCTCTCTCTCCCCATGGTCACGTGGATTTTCCTCTGGGTCCTCCGATTTTTTCCCTACGCATTTCGATACAAGCGTTTAGCGTATTTGGCTGCGATAAATCTCCACGTGATAAGCCACTTCGTTGGGCTACCACAAGGGTCGACAACTAAAATAACAAGAAGCTTAAAAAATAGAATTCGGTAATAAATCTATATTTCAAGAGCCACAATGTAACGTGAATACACGGGACGGTGGATCCTTAATAAATAACTTGACGATGCACTCCTTAAAGAGCCGCATACTGCTCCAGAGCCACAGATTACCGACTCCTGCCCATGGTAAACTGGACGTCCATGGTGAACTGGACTCCCATGGTAAACTGGACTTCCTGGTGAACTGTACTTTCATGGTAAACTAGACGTCCATGGTGAACTGGACTTCCATGGTGAACTGGACTTCCATGGTAAACTGGACTCCCATGGTAAACTGGACTTCCATGGTAAACTGTACTTTCATGGTAAACTAGACGTCCATGGTGAACTGGACTTCCATGGTGAACTGGACTTCCATGGTAAACTAGACTTTCATAGTAAACTAGACGTCCATGGTAAACTGTACTTCCAATTGTCAGGGGTCGGCAACCAAAATAACAAGAAGAGCCATTTTTTTAATTCGGTAAATTAAAAATCCATCCATATTCAAGACCACAATGCAGTCCTTTTAAAGAGCCGTAAGCGGCTTCCAGGGCCGCAGGCTGTCGTCCCCTGGGCTGATCATTTGTGACCAAGTCGCTTCTAAAAAAAAGAGCTATACTTTCTTTTATACCGACGTGACTTTACCGAAAGAACCAAAGAGTGAAGAGCTATGTAGCTCAGTTGGCCTTACCTGGTGAAATAACAAAAAGAGTCATTATTCCTCGAGACGGCATCGTGGCCACAGCCGCTGATTCCACCACCACCACTACCACCACCACCACTACCATCACCACCACTACCACCACCACCACTACCACCACCACCACCACTACCACCACCACTACCATCACCACCACCACTACCACCACCACTACCACCACCACCACCACTACCACCACCACCACCACTACCATCACCACCACCACTACCACCACCACCACTACCACCACTACTACCACCACCACCACTACCACCACCACCACTACCACCACCACCACCACTACCACCACCACCACTACCACCACCACGACCACCACCACCACCACCACCACGACCACCACCACCACCACCTCCTGTCTGCTACTCACACTGCTGCCCTGCACCAGATCGCTGTGCTGCTGCACAGTGGAGTCACGAAGACCTCCACCACGCCGGACATCTCAGCGTCGGCCTTCCCCTTAGCTCAGGGATTAGAGAACAGACGAGAATCTGCCTAGGGTTGTGACCTGGCCCTTGGGTTGAATGGCAGCTCACAGAGGCAGCGCTGCGAGAGGACGGGCGAACGAGAGAGACATTGAGCTGTGAAGTCGTGCCCCGCGTGGAGTTCTTCTCGGTGTCGCTGATGTCGATGTAGAGCAGCAATCGGAATGGTACATCAAGGTGGGTGAGGCAGATGATTTACATGAGGAGTGGCGGAGTGGAGCGGTTAGCGCTACGCTGCGCTACGAACCCGGCGACCGGAGTTCGATTCCTGCTCACGGCCAACACCGGTGACGATTATCTGAATCGATCATGGGCCTACCCCTAGGTCGACTCAGGTGCTGCTCGCTAACAGCACTTGCCCCAACAGTCTGTTACAGACGGTGAGGGACGCTGCTGAGATCCCCTTGGTGGTGGATGGGTCGAGGCAGGTTTCCCCCACGACTCGCCTAATAGACGGGGCGAGGCAACGGGAGAGGGAGAGAGAGAGGGGGGACAGAGGGGGGACAGAGGGAGCTGCGTCTCTGACATCGGCCGACGGCAACCACGGCAGTGGGGGTGGACCCCGGACGGGCGGGGGGGGGTTGAGGTTTTTGCACGGGACCCACCGATGCTGTAATGACGGAGCCCTCTGGTCTGTTGCGCCTGTCGTTAGCGGTCATTCCGAGAAGACGCGAGAGCTTTGCGAGTAGCGACGTGGGCTGTAAGGCAGCACTGTGGTAGGCGAGGGCTTGGACGATCGCCATCTGTTTCCATCTGTACGGGGATGGAGTGATGCTGCTGCATCCCTCGCGCGAGGCGTGGGGTTTTCTCCGGCTGCTCCAGGCTTCCTCCTCCCCACGTGAATAGCGAACACAACTCGTCTGGACAACGTCTTACACCTAACAACACCCCCCATGACACCCCGGTGTCCCGCCGTGACGAGATGTTAACTCCCTCGCCACAGCACGGACTACGGTGACGTTCCTCGCGTTCGGTCCGGGCTCGGCTCCGGCGGCCCCGGTACCGTGGAGGGAGGGAGTGGGGCAGGCGGGGTCCGTCCAGTGGTGGCGACGCCCATGCCAACATGATCTCTGCCGCCTTAAAACAAACAATAAGACAGCCAACCCACGGTGGCGCTTTCCACCACCGGCTTAGGACCACCGCTGGAGAGATAAGCAGCGCCCCCACCGTCGCTCGATGCCGAGGGACACTTTGACTGTTTGACTCGGAGGGGCTTTGCGCTCCAGGCCGCCGCGGGGCTGGCGGTGTTGACCCCGCGGGGAGGGGAGCCACGTGGCCCCGCGCGCCTTCAACCCCCGCCGCCCTCGGAGTGCGCGTCCTCATACATTCCGCACGCTTATGAAGATTGCCGCTGCTGCTGCTGTTATTGTTATTATGATAAACAGTACAGCGTAGCATTGGTGTGCAAGGGTGGTGCAGTCACGGAGTGATTTTTTCTCCCCCGCATTGTGCTATGAACCCGGTGACCTACTGAGTTTTGACTCCTGGACACGGATGGCATCAGTGGTGAGCGAAATCGGAACTGGCCCTGGGCACCCCTCCCTCCCTCACCAACCCACACGGACCAACGTAGTGAAGAGGGTGGCCATGGTGCCGAGTCACCTTGTGCCGTACACGCGCAGTTGCCACAGGGGGTGCCCTCTAAAATGCGCCGAGATGAGAGGAGATGCACGTTGGGGTGCCACGGTGGCGAGATGTTAACTACCTCGCCTGGTATACAGGAGGTCGGGGCTTCCATCCCGACCCTGAAGCCTGCTGTGTACTTTTTCGTGTCTCTCTCATGTGGATGTGTCTTCGGGTCCTCTGGGTATTCCCTCCACATTGAGAAACACGCTGCCACAAATTTACACGTGATAAGCCACTTCGTTGCGCTAGCATTTGTGTCCAGGTCGCTTCTGAAGGAAGGGCTACATAGCTCAGTGGGCCTTACCCGGTGAAATAACAAAAAGAGTCATTATTCCTCGAGACGGCATCGTGGCCACAGCCACTGATTCCACCACCACCACCACCTCCTCCTTGCTACCCACAGAGCTGCCCTCCACCAGATCCCTCCACAGTTAAAAGCATGGTCATACAACCCCCTCCCCATCACGGCGCGGGGAAGCCTTCATCCAGCAGTGGAGTGATCAAAGGGCCGTACGTGGTGATTGAGCATCACGCTAAGAGCGGAGCGGTCAACACCAGCACGGGGCAGTGTCCGGGCATGGGCGCTGCTCTCCCCCAAAGTGTCCCCCGTGTAGCCTTAACGACCTGTAGGGGCAAGTGCTGTTAGCGAGTAGCAGCACCCTATGAAGGCCACGGCATCGCCACACGAGGGGGTGGGTGGCCGACACTACGCCCGTCCGCCTTTCTCTCTCCCCGGTGCCGATGTTTACACACCACACCGGGTGCTCATTTAAGGCTGAGTCGACCCAGGGGTGGCCCAAGTCCCGGTTCAGATATTCGCCACTGTTAATTGGTCGTGGAGCGGCAGTGGAACTCGGGTGGCCGGGTTCGTAGCGCAGTGCGGTGGCCGCAATCATCCAGCTACATAGGAGCGCTCACACACAACAAAGATCCCCCACGTAGCCTTAACAGACTGTAGGGGCAAGTGCTGTTAGCGAGCACCTATGAAGGCCGGAACTTTACACGAATGGGTGGGTGGCCAGCACCACGCCCGACCGCCTTTGTTTCCCCAGTGGCGATGTTTACACACCGCACCAGGTACTCAATTGAGGCTGAGTCGACCTAGGGGATGCCCAGTTCAGATAATCGTCACCGGTGTTGGCCATGAGCGGTGCATAGCGCAGCGCGCTAACCGCTACACCACCGCTCCCCACGTGTGTGTGTGTGTGAGCACGCACACACACGCTCGCAACACGCGACTTGTGAACTGCCTGCGCTGCTGTGGTTTTAGCGAGCCTGAGAGTGGAAGTCGGTGCCGTTGGCAGACTCGGATGGATCGGTAAACAAGTCCGCATGTAACACGGCGACCATTCATTTGCACCGCCCCCCCCGCTCCACCCTCCCCCCTCTCACTTTCTCTCTCCCTCTCTCTCTCTAAATGCTTTTCTTCTTTTTCCTCCATCGCAAATGTTTGTTAAAGCCAGCGCGGTGTAAAAAAAAAAGAGCAGAAGAATAAGACGAGGACGAGGTGGAGTGAGTTGGCCGCCGCGCCGGGTACCCCCCCCCTCGCCCCCCCTCGCCCCCCCTCGCCCCCTCCCCCTCGCTCCCCCCCGACAAAGCACCGACCCGGAGCGCCGAGCGACGCGGACAGCGGGAGAAAGAGTTCGGTACAGTCGGGCAGGAGCAGCTGAAAGGAGCGCATTCTCTGCTCTATGCAGATTTAGCAAAGGGGGGGAGGAAGGGGGGGAGAGGGGGGAGGTAGTGGGGGGGGGGCACCGTCTCTCATTCTAACCCCCCCCCGCACCCCACCCACCGTCCCCCGCTCCAATCTCACAACAACAATCGCCACAGCTCCCTGGGAACAAGGAGGAGGGGGAGGAGGAGGGGGGAGCTGGGGGCGATGCGCCCCGGCGCGGGTAACTGGAGTGGGGTTGGCGGAGCGCGGTACGGAAGGGGGGGCACGGGGGGGGGGATCGTGGGGGGGGGGGCTCGGGGGGGGGGGGGGGCGCTCGGGGGGGGGGGGTGTTTCTAGTGATAGATCGCCGTGCGCTGATACGGAGGAACGGGGTGGGTGGCGAGGTGGGTGTGCGGCAGGGGGAGGGAGAGTGTCGGGGGGAGGGAGGAGGGTTGGTGGTAGTTTATTGTGTGTACAATTTTGAACGGCATTAGCATCAGCTGACTCCTCCACCCCCCCGCCCCCCCCGGTTCAATTCCCTCTCCTTTATTGAACCAGCTGACAACTCTGAGGTGTCTCGTTTCTCTTGCCAGAAACGCATGAATGCCGGGTCCTCGTCTCTGTCGGTGGTGCTCAGCGGTGCGGAGACCGCTTCGTCCTCGGCTCAGTAACCGCTCCCTACCAAGTGGGGCGGCCTCTCCACCGCATGCCGCGCGTGGTACTCATTTTACACACCCAACAGGGACGATGATGATTATGATGATGGGTCGCCCAATTATCCATAGTCAAGGTCAAAGTGACCATTGAGGCGGTGCTCAGTTCGAACTCAGGCGCTGCTTGCTGTGAGGCACGAGTGTGGTTACCACAGCACCACCACCACCACTCTGCCATGTGCGCGGGTGTGGGAGCGGCTCTCCCTCCCTCCCTCCCTGCTCTCCGTGCCACCACCACCACCACGCTCCTTGCTCGCGTGCTCTCCCTCTCTCTTTCTCTCTCCGCCCGTGGGACACTCCCCTCGAGCCTATCTCCTCCACCGCCCTTCGCCACGGTGTCCTCAGAGATGTCGGACGCTCGCGTGCGGCCCCGCGCCCGTGCGGCCGCGCGCGTCTTCGTCTGCGCTCGATTCCCGCCCGCGGTCAAAATCAGTGACGAATGTCTGGAACGGTCCTGGGCCGCCCCTAGGTCGACTCGGCCATAAACGAGTGCCCGCGGAGACAACCGGCGTCCCGGGGCGTGGTGGTGGCCACCCGCCACCACGTGACGGCATTCGCAGTGCTCGCGGACGGCACTTTCCCCTAAAGCCCGCGTGGGCTATAAAGTCGGAGGGATGGGGGATCTTTGTCTTTGCACAGTGCACGTGAATCACTGGTCCAGCATTTCCATACAAGCGCTGAATGTGTGCGTTGTGGAGCGCCCTTTGAAGTGGGTGTTGTCAGAGAAGACGCTGTATAAATATTCTTCACTTGGGTGGCCTGGCCGTTTGTGTTATTGCCTACAGTTTCTGAAGTTCACTGCCCCCCCCCTTCGCCCCCCACCTCCTCCCCCCGCAGCCAACATCGGTAGCGCGTTCTCTGCGACGCTTCAGTCTCTCTCTGGCACTGCCATTTATTTATTTAGCCGCCAGGGCCACCCCAGCGCCTTAGGCAACCATCCTTTGAAGAGGCTGGAAGCTGCCATCGCAATACGGAATGCGCGCGCCCCCACTCACTCAGTGGTGCGATCAACCACGTAGTTATTCACATCCAATAATCAATTGATTATGTTGTTGGTGTTGATTATATATTAATTTGTATTGTGTTGGCATTGTGCGCACGGATACATGTACAGGCATCTGCCGATCAACCGCTGGATGATGGCCTTCTCGAGACGTGTCAGCCGTGGAGATTGACCATACTTCACCGCTTTAGTGTCAGTGTGTGTTGGGGAAGGGAGGCGCGCGGGGGGGGGTGGGGTGGTTCTGAACTGGTTCGGCCATCACTCGCCGCCACGCCTGTTAGCCACGGTCGGGAATCGAACTCGGGTCTTACAGTGCGCTAGCCACTGCGCCACTGCGCCAGGACAATGTCGTTGCAGTTGATGTCATTATCCCGCTTGTCTACCCAGAAAAGCAAACGCAGCTGCATTGTCTCCCCGGTGCTGATGCTTGCACATCGCACAAGCTACTCATTCGAGGCCGGGCAGGCCCAAGACCTGTTCACGTATTCGCCATTGATGTTGACTGCGAGCGGGAATCGATCCCGGGTCGCTCAGGTTGGTGGCGCGGTTCGCTAACCACTACGCCTCGGCTCCTCACCGGAATACACGCGCGCAGACACACCGGTTAACAGCTCATAAAACACGCGAGCCTTCTCCCTCGGGGGGGGGGGGGGGCCTGCAGTCCCGGGTGCCGTGCGGGCCCTGAAGTGTGCGGTGCATTCCTAGGCTCCGTGTGGGGCGAGTGGTGAGTGTGTGACGAGTGTGTGACTGGCGGTGTCTCGGAGCGGTGAGCGTGCCTATTCCGCAGCTGCTTTCACAGTCTGACGCCCGACATGTGAAGGGCTCCGTGGTGTACGGCGAAGGTGCAGCGCCGCAGGTGAAGAGTGCTGGTGAAGCGGCGCAGCAGCATCCGCCACTGAGCTTGTGCAGCAACAGAAGCAGCAGTAGCAGCAGCAGCAGGCGCGCTGCGCGCAGTCGAGGCACCGCGTTCGTTAATGTTGACATTGCCCGGGGAGCAGACGGTGCCAGTCTCTGTTCTTGAAGCGAAAACACTTCAGCTCTGCACCTGCAGTCACTCGTGTGGATGTAAAGCACTCAAAAGGTACAACAACAACACATTTTTATAAAATGCTAATGATTTATAATTGCTGAATTAAAGAACGCGGAGCCTTTGAGAGCCGGCGCGGAGCAAGGCAAGAGGAGTCGGGCAGTGCGAGATGAACCTCTACTGAGAGCGCGGTTGAGAGCGGGCGAGCGAGCAGCGCCCAACAAAAGTCGTGGCATATGCGAATGACAACAAAAAATTGAGCATTTGAAACGAGTGTCTGGATCTGTGCATTGTGCGCGTATGCATTGCATTTATGGCTTTATTTTGGTGATTTCTAAAAGTTTTTTGATTTGGCCATGTTTTTGTTTATTGTAGTGCGGAGTTAGACTGATGGCCTTAATCTAAGTTTTCTTGTTGTTGTTGTTTGACTTGCATCCCACTGGGATTTTTGCACACAGCGTTGGTGTACGGTGCTATTTAAGGAATATTTTGATGTTTTTTTTTTCCTGGATTTTCTGTTTGCACATGCACACAGTCACTTGCAGATGTTTTCTTGTTCATGTTTTTGTTTTTTTGCTTGTTGCGGTTGCACCCGATTCAAGAGCCGAATGGCTCACAGAGCTATACCAAATAAATGAAACTATGAAATGAAACTATGAAATCAATCCTCAACCACATCGCAGCAGCGCGCACGGTGCAAACAGCGCCTCTCGCACAGAGCAGCTGTCAACTCCGGAACGCTGCGAGGTTGCCTTGGGGTGTAGGGATTGTCGCGGATAGCACTTGGCTCCAACGGTGCGCAGAGCTACATGGGGAACCTTTGTCACTGGGAGATTGAACGCAGCTGCAAGCTCGTTCCACCTAAGCTACGATGCCGAGTGTGACTGGTGACTCAGTGGGACGTGGTTGCAGATACATTTATTATTATTAGTTTATCTCAGCAAGTGTAGTGAGACGACTTCAGAGACACGACCTGTAGAGGGTATTGTTATTTATGTATTAATACTTTAACGACAGGCTCACAAAGTATGTATGTATTAATACTTTAACGACAGGCTCAGAGTAACATAAGCGCTGACTGACTTACAGCTTGGCCATCCATACAGCGACAGAGCTGGCTGGCTCTGCAGCGACAACGACGAGGAGACGGCAGCGATGACAGCCAGGACCCGAACCCCCTCGACAGCCCCGAACCCCACCGTTTGCCTCTCCCTTTTATTCACCCTGCGTGGCCAAGCCCCGCCCTTGGCCACGCCCCCCCTTCTGGAACTCTGCCGCGGGTTCTAGGAGCTTCCAGTTCGACCCCCTTGGCCCAGTTATGCCCCCCTTGTGGTCGCTTGAATGTGTGTCGTTCTTTACTGCACCCATACCCGTAGTCAGCACCCATGGCCACCATATGGCATACTGCCATGACTCAACTAAGGACCCACTGAGCCAAACAGCTCTTTGTCAGAAGAGACATGGCCAGCACAAACGATATTCCAATCAAGTGGTAGCATCGTGTGGAAATGTATTGCAGCCAGCTACTCGACATGCATGTTTCGAAATGTGGAGGTAAAAACCGGAGGACCCGGAGACAAATCCACACGACCACGGGGAGAAAGAGACACGCAAACTCCAAATATACAGCAGGTGTCAGGGTCGGGATCGCATCCGCAACCTCCTGTATACCAAGCGAGGTAGTTAACATCTCGCCACCATTGGTGCGCATCCTGCAGACTTACATTAATTAAAAAAATAGATCAGTTTTATATAGCGCAATTCGCACAATTCCTCAAAGCGCTTAACATGAAGCTTAAGTTACGGAAAAAGCCCGGTGTGAAAAATAGAAAGGGTGGGTTCTAAGCGACGATATTTTAAAAGTGTCTCTAATTCCCGAATGGACCGAGGAAGAGAATTCCGCAATCGCGCAAACAGCTCCGTCTCCCAGAGAACTTCCAAGGGGGTGAGCCTGAACGGGGCGAGACGAATCACTTCGCTTCGACAATTGCCCAAGAGACAACACCAACAATAACAACAAGAATAACAACAGTAACACCAACAATAACATCAACAATAACACCAACAACAACAATAATGACAGCAACAATAACACAACAACAATAACGCCAACAATAACGCCAACAATAACAACAATAACGGCAACAATAACAACAACAACAACAACACTCCAAACGGGGAACACCTGCCCCCATCACCTGCTCCATCGCGGCCCGTACGAGGCCCGACACACAATCTCCAAGGAGACATCACAGCGACAGGTTTACTCCTGGCGCGGTTACCTGCTGGCTCGACCACCTGAATGTGAAATTGTCGTCTGTTGCTCTGCATCTACATCAGCAGCCGTTCGCAAGTAAAAGAAAACGACGACGACCACGTGCCATGCAGTGCGCGGTCTGTCATTGCCTGTCACCACCACCCAGGATAAAAGACTCCACCATCCCCATGGGATGATCCAGCGCCGGGTTTTTGTCCTCTTCCACCACACAATGCCAAAGCTATAGACTCCACGCCCTGGAGAGTACACGTTGGCCTACTATTACACGCTGGCCAAACGTCTTGGAAGTTGATTACCCACCCACAACTTTACCCCCGCCACGCGCGATATGCAGATCCGCTCATGCAGTGGTTTTCCTATTCATAGCCCAACGCTGGTTGGCCAGAGGAGGAGGGTGGGTGGGGGGGTATTTAACAAACGTGGCCATTGATTGACCTGTTGCGCCGGGAGGTTGAACGGACGGTGACCTCTGGATTGCGAGGTCAGTGTGATGACCACTCCACCCGGGAAGCATCCCTCGTGTGGGGGAGGCGCGGGTGATGAAGGCCCTGGTCCAACCTGAATCCCGCTCGCAGCGCACGCGTGCAGGGCCAGGATCTGGGCCGGGTGTCACTCGAACTAACTGTCCACATTGCTCACGTGTGTTACGTATGTTATGTATGTTACGTATGTTATGTATATTGGACTTCTTTCGCACCGTGCGTTGTCATCCGTGCTAATCGGAGGTGCAGGGGGAAAGGACAGGAAACTAAACACAAAAAAAACTGCTTTAACAAAATTAGTTTTCAATCTAGATGGTTTAAAAGTGCATAGCTCCAGTGGCTTCCTCATATCGGTAGGAAGAGCGTTCCAGACGGCCCCGGGAAGCGCATCTAACGAACTAGCATCGCGTCCACAGAGGCACAGTTGCAGCGGATAATGAGCCCATGTAGGGGCTTAGGGGCGGCATTGAACACGAGCAGCGTGCACAGGGCAGATGAATTGCCATTGCCAGTGATCGTTGCATGGTTAGTCACGGGTCATTTTAAAACAATGTCACCAGAATGGATTTTTGATTAAAACAACAACCAGGATGTGGCATTTATGTTGCCCGTTCATTCTTGAGATCATGACGTTGTTGTTGTCGTTGTCGTCGTTTTACGAAGAAGTTGTGACTTGTTGTACGAGTCTGCACTGACAACATCGCACACGAGCGGACGGGCGAGACAGTATGGTGAGGTCTCAAAACTCTTTAACGTCCACCTTGATGTACACAGCGCGCCTGGTTCATTACCTGAGTGGCTTGCCACGTGGTGGCTTGGGGGGAGGGGGGGGGGGACCACTCCTACGATCCGGCGACGCAGCGAGCGCTGAGGACCAGGGCCATGCCGACTCCGCGGCCAAAGCCTCGCCACCCTCTCAATCCACCTGGGAACCCACGATGCCGGTCAATCACCACGCCAACAGGGAGGCTCCTCGCCTGTAACGTCTGACATTTCACTAACGTTGTTTTTTTTTTCAAGCCAAGCCTTACCCGGCTGACGGGAAGACGTCGAATCGCGAAAACCGACCCAGTGCTTGCTCGTTGTTAAACCGATGCCGCTGAAGTGATGAGTTTCCCCGAAGGCCGTGACACTGATGAGTCGCGTGGCAACTATCGAATCACTTTGTGTGCGCGCGCGCGCAGAGAAGGATGCTCAATGTATCCTGTTACTTGAATTCTCCACGACAACTCTAGCGATCGCGTTGTGTTTACCTATCTATGTGGCAGCACTTAAAACAATTGCGTAATCCTTGATGAATCCACTGCTGGATGGAGGCCGATTGCCGCTATACTTTACTTCGCTCGCCTGTACGGGTGGGGTGGATTTCAGAGGAGGTGCGTGTCCGGTACGGATATCACTCGCCACTGATGTTAGCCGCGACCGGGAATCGATCTCAGGCCACCAGGTCCACGGTCCCGATGCTCGTGGCCACTTGCATGCTGCGCTGCTACTGTGCCGTGTCAATGAACGCATTTAGCAACGAGTGCGTGTAGCGTGTCCATATTAAATGCGCTTACATCAGTCGCAGCTGTGCGACTGGTGCACATTCTAGTGACGCTCTAGAGGGGCCAGAGACATCTACAAGGCTGACACAAGTATAATCCGATCCGCACTGGGAAATACAAAACAACTGCCGAAATGCCCCGGTTTACGTCGGAGATGCGTTCCTGAAATGTGCAACAACGAATCTCGAAACGACGTTAAATCGAAGCGATGTATAGGGTAGGAGGTGGTGGAGGTGGTGGAGGCTCAGGCTGAGAGGCTCCCCTCCCCGTGGTGGTGGTGGTGGTGGTGATGGTGGTGCCACGGACACAACGTTTCCTCTCCGACTATTTCTCTCATGGTAATCGATTAAAGCGATACCCCCGTTAACGTCGGGAGGGATGCCTTCCTCAAAAGGTGCCACCACGAATATCGAAACGACGCTAAATCGAAGCGATTTACCGGGTAGGTGGTGGTGGAGGCGAAGGCTGAGGCCGACGGAAACGGGGAAAGACCGACGATGCTGTCAGTGTGGGTTGAGGCGACGCAAATCGGGTGGCGGTATTCATAAAGTGACAACGCATTTGCGAAACGACGTAAAAATCGGCGACGTAAAACGAGGTATTACTTTATCTGGAAAGCAACAGAAACATGTTGTACTTTGCCCCTCTACCCGATGTCAGGCAGAGGGTAGAAGGGTCAGCCTGTGGGCACGTGACCAGCACAGCACGATCACCATCAAAGCCAAAGACCCCCCGTGTAGCCTTAACAGACTGTTGGGTCAAGTGCACCTTATGAAGACCGGCACGGCACACGAGGCAATGGGTGGCGAGCATTACGCCCGACCGCCTTTGCCTCCCTAGTGGCGATGTTCACACACCGCACCATGCAGGTATTAATTTGCGGCTGAGTCGACCTAGGAGAGCCCCCAGTAAACAATGGTCACCGGTGTTGGTCGTGAGCGGGATAAATCGAACTCGGGTCGCCGGGCATCGCAGCGCAGCGCCACCCGCGACGCCACCGCTCCCCACGCGCTCACCGCTACGATCGTCGACTTAGCGCACCGCGAGGTACCGAGTGAGACGATCGAGACGGGCGAAAGCCACCAGCGCCACCACCACCGCTCGCGTTCCACACGGGGGGGGGCGGTGGGGGGGGGGGGTCTTTCTTCCCGGGGAGGAGGGGGGGGGGGGGGGCTCCGTTCACGGCTTTGTCAACGATCCCATTGTTTTACGCTCGTCCCCGTTTTAATTTAACGAAAAAGAAAAAGCGTGGACAAGTATCTCATTAAAGACGCGCACACAACGCGGGCCGTGAATAACTGCGCGGGGAGGTTGCCCTGCCGTGGCTCGAGTTGGTCGCACGCCGCAGTACGGACTGCATAGACTGCATGTACGGGGGGAGCGGTGGCGCAGTGGTTAGCGCGCCACCGCTACAAACCCGGCAATCCGTGGGCGATTCCCTCTCACGGCAAACACCGGTGGCCATTATTTGAATCGGTCCTGGGCCTCCCTTAGGTCGACTCAACCTCAAATTTACTGTACTGTACCCTGGTGCGGTGTGTAAACATTGTCAGACGGGAGATAAAGGCGGCCGGGCGGGGTCCCGGCCACCCCACCCCCTCGTGTGCCGTGTCGGCCTTCACAGGTGCTGCTCGCTAACAGCACGTGCCCCAATAGTCTGTTAAGGCTATACGCGGATCTTTGCCTTTGTGTATACAATACTATATCATGCAATACACTTTCACGCGGTTAATGTGTATATGTATAGCTTTTATACCACTAAGTAATTATGATTTCGCTTGTTTACCCAGGAAGAATGTTACTGAATCTGAAGAACATTTTGTCAGGAGCGTCCTGCCAAGTATTCGGAGCAAGGGGACGCTGCTGCTGCTGCTGCCGATGTGCGCGCTCCGAATTGAGTGATGCACAGGTAATGTGTCTGCCTTGCTGGGATGTTTGGCCAATGACAGTTACACATTGTCTTGTGTACTCTGTACGTGTTGTGTATTTTGTACGTGTGTGTATGATGCACGTGTCGTGTATGATGCACGTGTTGTGTATGAGTGTTGTGTATGATGCACGTGTTGTGTATGATGCACGTGTCGTGTATGATGCACGTGTTGTGTATGATGCACGTGTTGTGTATGATGCACGTGTTGTGTATGATGGACGTGTCGTGTATGATGCACGTGTTCTGTATGATGCACGTGGTGTGTATGGTGCACGTGTTGTGTATGGTGCACGTGTTGTGTATGATGCACGTGTTGTGTATGAGTGTTGTGTATGATGCACGTGTTGTGTATGATGCACGTGTTGTGTATGGTGCACGTGTTGTGTATTCTGTACGTGTTGTGTATGATGCACGTGTTGTGAATGTTGCACGTGTTGTGTATGATGCACGTGTTGTGTATGATGCACGTGTTGTGTATGATGCACGTGTTGTGAATGTTGCACGTGTTGTGAATGTTGCGCGTGTTGTGTATGATGCACGTGTTGTGAATGTTGCACGTGTTGTGAATGTTGCACGTGTTGTGTATGATGCACGTGTTGTGTATGATGCACGTGTTGTGAATGTTGCACGTGTTGTGTATGATGCACGTGTTGTGTATGATGCACGTGTTGTGTATGATGCACGTGTTGTGTATGATCCACGTGTTGTGTATGATGCACGTGTTGTGTATGATGCACGTGTTGTGTATGATGCACGTGATGTCTTTTCACAACTGGGGTCCAAATACTGCCCCGGAGTTAAACGCTGCGTGCGGTTTGGGGGAGGGAACGGTGGCGCAGTGGTTAGCGCACTCCGTTATGAACGGCGTTCCCTGACTTAACATCACGAGCGAGCTATGTCGGAACCGGCCCCTTGGCCCCTTCTAAAATCCATCACCGACCAGCGTGGTGAAGTATGGTTAAACAACCCACAATTACTAACCACGGCGTGGGAAGGCCTTCGTGCAGAAGTGGATTGCCCAAGGGACTGTGAACTTTGATAGCTGCTACTGTTTGTGCACGATAGGCACCGTGTTCGCGCTTCTCATTCGATACTTTACTACTCAGATGGCCATTGTTGCTTGTGTGGCGGGGCTGGGTTGTGGCTGCACTGCCGCCTGTTTCCTCGTGCCCGGTGGGAGACGCCGCTTGTACGCCCCCGCCTCCCTCTCTCCCCCCCCCCCTGCTCCCCCCTGCCCCCCCCCGGTCCCCCCACCCCCGTCCCTGTAGGACGCCAGCCACGTGCAGCTCCTCCTCCACACCTCGTCCTCATCACAACGAGCACCTTGGATGCGTTCGTTGGGGCAACACGCGCGCGCTGCGACACAAAGTCTAAGCCGGCCCCCGATGTAGCATGAGCCCCGGCAGGCGACACGACGCCAGCAGGCACGACAGCGCGGTGGATCTTAGACATACACAGCGTGCATGATGCATGTCTGTGTGGGCGCAGTGGTGGGACATCACCGCGGCTCGGTTTGTTGGTGGCGAGGTTCGGGCTCAGCTCCCCTGGGCGTCAGGGAATGCCGCTCTCACCCCTTGAGAGCGGCCTTGAGAGTCGCCCGTCTAACATTTGTGTCTTGGTCCCACGTGGAAGAGTAGGCCCAGTACCCCATGTGGAGTTTCGCGCGAGTGGATAACCCTTCCGGCAGCGAGTGGCGTGAGTGAGCTCTTGCATGGCTGCACCTTTGCCCGCCTGGTTCAGTTTTTACTTCGCACGTTGCGTTGGAGACGCGGTTTGGATGGGAGCCGCGTGGTGGAAAGCCAACAACAGTGGTCGTCAGGGACAGACTTGGCCTCAGCACGGGAATGTGGAGTTTCCAGTATCGGGCCCGGACGCCGCCTTGCGCTCGTGTGTGTGTGTATGTAGAACTTCTTTCGCACCGTACGTAGCCAACCGTGCTAAGTGGAGGTGCGAGGGAAGCACAACAAATTAAACGAGAAAAAAGGCAGTTCTCAAGAAATGAGTTTTCATTCTAGACGATTTAAAAGTGTAGTTCCAGTGGATTCCTGATATCGGAAGGAGGAGCGTTCCAGACGGCCGCAGAAGCGCATCTTAAAGCGCCTCATCCCGTCGCTGTGTACACTCACTCTCGCTACCACTCTCTCATTCACTATCTCACTCATTCACTCTCTCAATCACCATCTCACTCAACCGCTCACTCTCTCATTCACTCTGCCATTCACTCGCTCTCTCACTCATTCACTTACTATTTTACTCACTCTCATGCATTCACTCTTTAACCCTCTCTCATTCACCCTCTCATTCATGAAGTACAGTATTCACTTGATGTGAGGCTTTCGTGATTGCAGGAATCCATATCCTTTGGTTATTTCGGTAAAGTCACGTCGGTAGAAAAAAAAAATACATCACTATTGTTATATTTAAAAATTTCTACCCACGTGACTTTACCGAAAGAACCGAAGAGTATGAGCAAGTGTTCACTTACTCATTCACTCACCCACCCACCCACTGAGGCGCACACTGGCCGAGTGATGTCTGCGACTCTGCTGCTGTTAACCCCATCACCGTGACCCGACACCACACTGCCTCGTGATTGTATTTCGCTGTTTGTAATTCCACGATAATCGCCGGCTCATTGTCCCACCCCGCACCGATTTCCCAGGCGAGTGAGGCCCTCATCGCGTCACTGACTCAGAGTGGACACGTGTTTTATTTAACCCACGTGAGGTCCCGGTGGTCACGTGTTAAGATACTTTGTCATCGCAAACGTAGCTTCTTGATCTATGTATATATATAACAATAAATACAAACATTGAACGTGCCACGTTGGCTGACACCGCCGCACAATCGCCGGTCTCTCGCGCGCGAACGCGACACCGCGGGGCTCAGTCCCGCGGGCAATGACGCAGCCGCAACGGGGCTCGAACCCCGTGGCCCCACGCCGCGTGGCCCGGGCAGCAGAGGCAGGCGCTTGGCAGCCCGCAGACTGCCCCGCGGGCCGCGCGCGCGTGTGCGGCGAACGGTCACGGGGGGGAATCCGGCGGCGTCTCTCGTCGATGAACCACGCGGAGCTCGAGTCGCGGTGATGCGACGAGGGGGACCGCCGTTGGCGAACGGATCTGGCCGGGAAGACTCCGCCGCCACGCCGCCGTGCTCCTCGCGTCGACGAAGCGTCTCCCCGGGAGCCGCGTGCGTGGGCAGAGAGGGGGCAGAGCGCGCGGCCACATGGAGATGTTCACTCGTGTAGATGCGATCGTTCATGGCCAGGGCTTGCCAGGTGTTGTAGGCCACCGGCCGCCAGCTGCGGCCAGGAGATGGCAGCTGCTGAATGTGCCACCGCCTCCTCTCCAGGTTTTTTCCGGTCTCCTCCACTCACACGAACGTCACTCGGCTCATGGACATTGTGAAACGTCCCCAACGTGGCCAAGACTCTCCAGAGACGGGACGCGCAGCTCGAGTGAGGCTTCCCCCTCCGTCTCGCGTTTTCCACTTGAAATGCGGGACAGGCTTCTCGAGATGCGGCACTGTGCAGGCTCCATCGCTGGCGGGTGGCCGGAGGGTCACGGAATCCTAAACTCGCTGCCAGCCGCGTGCACATTCACTGCCGGGTCGCGCGCACCGCGGCCTTGTCACAGTCGCCTCTTCTCTTTGGTGCGACGGGAGATCAATGTCCCCTGGTCTATTATGATGATCTAGCGGGGGGTGGGGGGAGGGATAAAATAAAACAACGTTTCGGTCAACTGCCCTTTCACCATCCGCAATTGATTGACATGGCGTGGCTTCATGCGCCGTCACTCGCTTGGTTTCAGCGATACTCACTCGCCAAACCCACAAACAAGCGTGGGCCACGTGTCTGGCCGTCGGATGTGCCCGTGTGTGTGTGTGATGAGGTCAGTGCCCGAGTGTGTGTGTGTGGTGGGGGGGGACGGTAGCATACAGCGCTACGAACCTGGCGTTCCAAGTTCGATTCCCGCTCACTGTGTGTTCGCTCGCGTGACATTTTGCCCAGCGCATAGCACACAGCGCATGCGAGCCACAGCGATACACGCGGAATGTCCACGCGCTCTTCTCTCAATCCCATTGACACTACCCATTAAGGAAGCTCCCAGCACGTGCATCGAAACGTCGGACATCACGCTGAGCAACACGCGGTACAACCATAAAACGCAGCGGGGAAGCTACGCACAGCAGCAGCAGCCCCGCCGTGAACCCCCCTACTCAGAGGAATGTGTCGGTAAACTTGGGTGTGACTGCAAGACATTTCACTCTCGTTCGCTGTGGAACAGAACAGCTGATTCCCCCCCCCCCCCCCCAGCTCCTTCCTTGTGGGATTGCGCTGCTGCTGCTGTCACCATCCTAGAATCTCACCACCCAGATCGAGAAGAACGCTGCTGCTGCTGGTGTCACCATCCTATAATCTCACCGCCTAGATCGAGAAGAACGCTGGTGCTGCTGGTGTCACCATCCTAGAATCTCACCGCTCAGATCGAGAAGAACGCTGTTGCTGCTGAGGCTGTCACCATCCTAGAATCTCACCGCTCAGATCGAGAAGAACGCTGCTGCTGCTGTGCCAACAGAGTGGATCAACGCGGACGTCCAGAATAGACGCCTCTCATTCGAGACCCAAAATATCGTGGCACACCTCCTCCAGCCTTTGACATTCCACCTCCTCGAAAACCCAGCTGGGGGGACCACCAACAGCATCAACGTATCATCACCAGGCCGATGCGCGCACATCCCCTTCATGAATGTGAATTTAAGACACGAGCCACCGTAGGGCAACTGCGGTCAAGCAACCCAAAACCATGGACGATATAGTAAAACCCATGGCGACAGAGAGGCAAATGGAGACACATCGAGACACATAGACGAAGTACACAGAAATACGCACACGGGACGTAGAGACCCACGGGGATACGCAGAGACTCATCGACATGCCAGAAGTACCGCGCCGCGACATCAATGGACAAAAAAATAAATCACAGAATCGTCAAACTGCGACCGTGGTGAAAGCCCAAAATCACCAAACGCATCACCGACGAGTGCCGCCATCCACGCCACACACCCTGGCGGCATCGCGGCAGTCCGTACAGCGTCTACCGCCGCCTTGGAGGACCTTGACATTCAACGATGACATCTACACAATGCGTTGCTGCGACCCCCACCCCTCCATGCCATACGGTAAAAGAATAGAAATGCAGAGAGACCCACAGAGAGACCCCATGACATTAAATACACGCCACGGCAGTGCGACTGTGACCATGTCACCCACACTATGGACCACACAGTAAACCCATGAGCTCATAGAGATACATAGAGACTCATAGAGATACATAGAGACTCACAGAGACCCATAGAGATGCATTAAAGACACGCCACAACAGTGCGACCGTGGCCATGTCACCCACACTATGGACCACACGGTAAATAAACGACTTTAGTCTCCGTGGTTTCATCGGAGGAGGAAGAGCAAAAGGACTCTCGTCGTGGCCAGCAGATTTCAAACTGATCAACAATAAAGCCTTACGTGTTGAACAGATCTCGACATTATCCATAATAAAGCCCCACGTGTTCGACAGATCTCAAATGTTGACATCGATCTCCTGGCCAACTGTCGGGTGGCGTAGCCGGGGGGGGGGGGGGGTGCGGGAGGAACTCTTTAACGTTCCTCTTACAGCAGGAGGCGCGCTTCGGTGGTGACGGTGCGGACTGTGGTGGCGGTGATCGCGGCGAGCGTTGCGCTGGGCGCGGAGTGAGAGTCGCCCACGAGAGAGGAGCCAGGGGCTCCGCTCCTTCTCTCTCTCTCGCGCTTAATTAAAAATGTGAAATTACAACACGCGGAGCCCACTCCCATTACTACAACAACAACAGCAGCAGCGACGGCGGCGGCGGCCGCCCCACGCGACACGCGGAGGCGCCTTGTTGACTTTACCTTGGGGCACCAAGAAGTCGCGTGAGCTGCTGCTCCTGCTGCTGCTCCTGCTGCTCCTGCTGCTCCTGCTGCTGCCACTGCTGCCACTGCTGCTACTACTGCTGCTGCTCCTGCTGCTGCTACTACTGCTACTACTACTGCGGCTCAGCCAGGGGAAGCGCGGGTTGGCCACATCACGTAGCATGTGTGATGAGCGTGTTTGTGTGATGGGAGTGTGTGTGATGGGAGTGTTTGTGTGATGGGAGTGTTTGTGTGATGGGAGTGTTTGTGTGATGGGAGTGTGTGTGATGGGAGTGTGTGTGTGATGGGGGTGTGTGTGATGGGAGTGTGTGATGGGAGTGTGTGTGATGGGCGTGTTTGTGTGTGATGGGAGTGTGTGATGGGAGTGTTTGTGTGATGGGAGTGTGTGTGTGATGGGAGTGTGTGTGATGGGAGTGTGTGTGTGATGGGAGTGTGTGTGTGTGTGATGGGAGTGTGTATAGTGATAGGAGAGTGTGTGATGGGAGTGTGTGTGATGGGAGTGTTTGTGATAGGAGAGTGTATGTAATGATGGGAGTGTGTGTGTGATGGGAGTGTGTGTGATGGGAGTGTGTGTGTGATGGGAGTGTGTGTGATGGGAGTGTGTATAGTGATAGGAGAGTGTGTGATGGGAGTGTGTGTGATGGGAGTGTGTGTGTGATAGGAGAGTGTATGTAATGATGGGTGTGTGTGTGTGATGGGAGTGTGTGTGTGTGTGTGATGGGAGTGTGTGTGTGATGGGAGTGTGTGTGATGGGAGTGTGTGTGATGGGAGTGTGTGTGTGATGGGAGTGTGTGTGATTGGAGAGTGTATGTAATGATGGGAGTGTGTGTGTGATGGGAGTGTGTGTGTGATGGGAGTGTGTGTGATGGGAGTGTTTGTGTGATGGGAGAGTGTATGTAATGATGGGAGTGTGTGTGTGATGGGAGTGTGTGTGTGATGGGAGAGTGTATGTAATGATGGGTGTGTGTGTGTTTGATGGGAGTGTGTGTGTGATGGGAGTGTTTTGTGTGATGGGAGTGTGTTGGTGTGTGATGGGACAGCGTGTGTGATGGGTGAGAGTCTGTGTGTGTGTGATAGCGGGGCCGTGGCCCAGTGGTTAACACACCGCGCTACGAACCCGGCCACCCGAGTTCGATTCCCGCTCACGACAGACATTCGTGAGCGAGCGATATCTGAACCGGTCCTGAGCCTCCTTTAGGTCAACTGAGCCTTAAACGATGTAGACACCGGCACTGAGACCAGGGCGGCCGCATGGTTCGAGCTACAACAACCCCTGGTGCGCCGTGCTGCCCTTCAAAGGTAGCTCGCCGACAGCGTTCGCCTCGACAGCTCGGAGGAATCCGATGAGCTACGAAGCTGTTGTTTCACAGACGTCCAGTGTGGACGGGCGAGCGCGTTACAACAACGGGCAATACAAAAAAAGGCGACAGAGCAACGGGGAGCGGCTCTCTGTCTTTGTGTGCGATGGGAGTGTCGCGTGCGCGTGATGGCCGAGTATGTTTGCGTGATGGGAATTCCTGGAAAGATCTGGGCAGTCCCATCGGTGAGCTCCTCCGGTGGTGGGCCCGAAGCTGCGCTGGCTGGGTCATGGAGCCCGCATGGTAGGCTAGGCGTGTGGAGCTGAGTGACCGGTTCCAGCGGTGTCAAGATCGGCCTCTGTGGGGGAAAGCTCGTGAAGGACGCTACTGGGCAGTTGAATGCAGCCGCCCTTCCAGCAACATCGGAGGGCGGACGAGTGACGCTCACAACAACGAGCGCTCGGAGCGCCGGGCAGATAAAACGAAGAATGTTGTTAGCACAGTGGGAAGCACAGCGGGGTGCATCTGCCAGTCATCTCAATCAGTCAGCCCATGGCACCTGGGTCTGACCCGTGGCCTACTACGAACAAGCATCGATGTGGTATCAAAGTGCACCTAGCCTGGCACTAAGCGCTGTGGTGATGTCACCGTCACTTAGTGACGAATGTCATTATTGAATGGCGGATGTTATATAGGAGTGGGTGGAGTGCGGCAGTGTAGTGGTTAGCGCTACGCTGCGCTACGAACCCGGCGACCCGAGTTCGATTCCTGCTCACGGCCAACACCACTAGTGACGATTATCCGAAACCGGTCACGGGCCTCCGCTAGGTCGACTCAGCCTCAAACGAGTACCTGGTGCGGTGTGTAAACATCGCCACTGGGGAGACAAAGGCGGCCAGGCCACCCACTCCCTCGTGTGCCGTGCCGGCCTTCACAGGTGCTACTCGCTCACAGCACTTGCCCCAACAGTCTGTTAGAGGCGGCGAGGGACGCTGCTGCTGAGATCGCCTCGGTGGTGGATGGATCGAGGCAGGTTTCCCCCACGACTCGGCTAATGGAAGGAGCGAGGCAACGGGAGGAGAGAGAGAGAGAGGGGGGGACAGAGGGGGCTGCGTCTCTGACATCGGCCGATGTCATCGTGTGAGTGAAGTGTGTGATGGGTGATGGGAGATGTGTGATGGGTGATGGGAGTGTATGATGTGTGTGTGTTTGTGATGTGTGATGGGAGTTCGTGATGTGTGATGGGAGTGTGTGATGGGAGTTCGTGATCTGATGGGAGTTGATGGGTGATGGGAGTGTATGATGTGTGTGTGTTTGTGATGGGAGTTTGTGATGTGTGATGGGAGTTCGTGATGTGTGATGGGAGTGTGTGATGGGAGTTCGTGATCTGATGGGAGTTTGTGATGGGAGTTTGTGATGTGTGATGGGAGTGTGTGATGGGAGTGTGCGTGTGTGATGGGAGTTTGTGATGTGTGATGGGAGTGTGTGATGCGTGTGTGTGATGCGTGTGTGTGTTTTGGGAGTTCGTGATGTGATGGGAGTGTGATGTGTGATGGGAGTGTGATGCGTGATGGGAGTGTGTGATGCGTGTGTGTGTTTTGGGGGTGTGATGTGTGATGGGAGTATGTGATGTGTGATGGGAGTGTGTGATGGGAGTGTGTGATGGGAGTGTGTGATGGGAGTGTGTGATGGGAGTGTGTGATGCGTGATGGAAGTGTGTGATGCGTGATGGGAGTGTGTGATGTGTTTTGGGGGTGTGATGCGTGATGGGAGTGTGTGATGGGAGTGTGTGATGGGAGTGTGTGATGGGAGTGTGTGATGCGTGTGTGTGTGTGATGGGAGTGTGATGTGTGATGGGAGTGTGTGATGCGTGTGTGTGTGTGATGGGAGTGTGATGTGTGATGGGAGTGTGTGATGCGTGTGTGTGTGTGATGGGAGTGTGATGTGTGATGGGAGTGTGTGATGCGTGATGGGAGTGTGTGATGTGTGATGGGAGTGTGTGATGCGTGTGTGATGGGAGTGTGTGATGCGTGATGTGAGTGTGTGATGTGTGTGTGTGTGATGTGTGTGTGTGTTTTGGGGGTGGGGTGTTGATGGAGGTGGGGGTTGGTGCCACAGGATGGACATCAACGGAGTCGCGTGGGGGAGGGGGGAGGGGGTCAACCCCCCGCACGCCCCCCACCCCGCTCACCTCCCTGCCACCGCCCTGCGCTCACCCATTGGTCAGCTCATTTGCATAATCTACCCCCCCCCCTTCACTCCTGTGTCGCTCTCTGGCCAGCGGCCAATCACGCAGCATGTGCCGGGGGGTGGGGGGGGGAGTTGCGGAGCATTTGGGATGGGGGAGGGGGGCAATGACCATATCACTGAGACCCCCCCCCCACTACCAGCGAGTTCACCCGCTCCCTATTCACCAGGCAGCAGCAGTAGCAGCATCACAAGGCAACTCCACACCCGCCTTTGTCTTCTCCCTTCCCCCCCCTCCCTCCCCTCCCCTCCTCCTCCTCCTGTCCCAGCCCTCATCACCCCCCCACCCACCGCCCGGGCCCCGCCCTGCTGCACGGACCCGCTATGATTAATCACAGAGCGCGTTATTGATCTTCATAATCAGCCTGACATGCAAGCGGCGGCGGTGGTGCCAGCAGCAGCAGCGGCAGCAGCGGCAGAGGCCGCGCCGCGCGTCTCGACGTGACATTATTTTCTTTTTTGGCGAAAGTCGGAGACAGAGCGGAGCTCTTCCTGATGCTCGCCGACGCACGGCGCGCAGCAGCTACAGCAGCAGCAGCTACAACAGCAGATACAGCAGCAGCAGCAGCTACAACAGTTACAGCAGCAGCTACAGCAGCAGCAGCTACAACAATAGCAGCAGCAGCTACAACAGCAGCAGCTACAGCAGCAGTATGTCCCGGCGCAAACAGCACAAGCCGCTACAGCTGGTGCCGCACGTGGCCAGGCAGCGGGGCGGACGCGCAGCGCGTGGTAGGTCAACGACAGCGCCCCTCACTCACCAACACTCACCAACACTCACCAACACTCACCATCACTCACCAACACTCACCAACACTCACCATCACTCACCAACACTCACCATCACTCACCAACACTCACCAACACTCACCAACTACACACTCACCAACACTCACCAACTACACACTCACCAACACTCACCAACACTCACCAACTACACACTCACCAACTATACACTCACCAACACTCACCAACACTCACCAACTACACACTCACCAACACTCACCAACACTCACCAACTATACACTCACCAACTACACACTCACCAACACTCACCAACACTCACCAACTATACACTCACCAACACTCACCAACTATACACTCACCAATTATACACTCACCAACACTCACCAACTACACACTCACCAACACTCACCAACACCAACTACACACTCACCAACACTCACCAACACTCACCAACTACACACTCACCAACACTCACCAACTATACACTCACCAACACTCACCAACTACACACTCACCAACTATACACTCACCAACACTCACCAACTATACACTCACCAACTATACACTCACCAACACTCACCAACTATACACTCACCAACTATACACTCACCAACACTCACCAACTATACACTCACCAACACTCACCAACTACACACTCACCAACTACACACTCACCAACACTCACCAACACTCACCAACTATACACTCACCAACTATACACTCACCAACTATACACTCGCCAACACTCACCAACTATACACTCACCAACTATACACTCACCAACTATACACTCACCAACACTCACCAACACTCACCAACTATACACTCACCAACACTCACCAACTATACACTCACCAACACTCACCAACACTCACCAACTATACACTCACCAACTATACACTCACCAACACTCACCAACTACACACTCACCAACACTCACCAACTATACACTCACCAACTATACACTCACCAACACTCACCAACTATACACTCACCAACTATACACTCACCAACACTCACCACCACTCACCAACTATACACTCACCAACACTCACCAACACTCACCAACTATACACTCACCAACTATACACTCACCAACACTCACCAACACCCACCAACTATACACTCACCAACACTCATCAATACTCACCAACTATACACTCACCAACACTCACCAACTACACACTCACCAACACTCACCAACTATACACTCACCAACACTCACCAACTATACACTCACCAACTATACACTCACCAACACTCACCAACTATACACTCACCAACACTCACCAATTATATACTCACCAACACTCACCAACACTCACCAACTATACACTCACCAACACTCACCAACAACACACTCACCAACACTCACCAATTATATACTCACCAACACTCACCAACTATACACTCACCAACACTCACCAATTATATACTCACCAACACTCACCAACACTCACCAACTACACACTCACCAACTATACACTCACCAACTATACACTCACCAACTATACACTCACCAACACTCACCAACTATACACTCACCAACTATACACTCACCAACACTCACCAACTATACACTCACCAACACTCACCAACTATACACTCACCAACTATACACTCACCAACTATACACTCACCAACACTCACCAACACTCACCAACTATACACTCGCCAACACTCACCAACTATACACTCACCAACTATACACTCACCAACTATACACTCACCAACACTCACCAACACTCACCAACTATACACTCGCCAACACTCACCAACTATACACTCACCAACTATACACTCACCAACTATACACTCACCAACACTCACCAACTATACACTCACCAACACTCACCAACTATACACTCACCAACTATACACTCACCAACACTCACCAACACTCACCAACTATACACTCACCAACACTCACCAACTATACACTCACCAACTATACACTCACCAACTATACACTCACCAACACTCACCAACACTCACCAACTATACACTCACCAACACTCACCAACTATACACTCACCAACACTCACCAACACCCACCAACTATACACTCACCAACACTCACCAATACTCACCAACTATACACTCACCAACACTCACCAACTACACACTCACCAACACTCACCAACTAAACACTCACCAATTATACACTCACCAGCACTCACCAACACTCACCAACTATACACTCACCAACTATACACTCACCAACACTCACCAACTATACACTCACCAACACTCACCAACTATACACTCACCAACACTCACCAACACTCACCAACTATACACTCACCAACTATACACTCACCAACACTCACCAACACTCACCAACTATACACTCACCAACTATATACTCACCAACTATACACTCACCAACTATACACTCACCAATTATAAACTCACCTGCAAACTCGCTCACCGTGCTCTAAACACACCACAAACTCACCTCCAGGCTCACTCACCACACGACAAACACACCAAACACTCACCACACGACAAACACACCAAACACTCACCACACGACAAACACACCAAACACTCACCACACGACAAACACACCAAACACTCACCACACGACAAACACACCAAACACTCACCACACGACAAACACACCAAACACTCACCACACGACAAACACACCAAACACTCACCACACGACAAACACACCAAACACTCACCACACGACAAACACACCAAACACTCACCACACGACAAACACACCAAACACTCACCACACGACAAACACACCAAACACTCACCTGTAGACTCACCACACCACAAACTCACCTGTAGACTCACTCGTGCAAACTCACGCACGCACGTGTCACGCACCACGCTCCCCTACAAACTCCCCGCAGTCCACCACCAACTAAACTTCACGACGTATACTCTCCTAAAGACACGTACCCCACGCTCACGTACACCCACACCACGCTCACCAACTGTACACGAAACCTATACTTACCTACAAACTCTTACCACTCCCCACAGACGAATACAACACTCACGAAGCTCACCTCCAGACTCACAGCACACTCGTACACACACACACACGCCTACAGATTCACACGCTCACCTAAGACTCAAACACTCACCTAGAGACGCGCACACACTCACCTAGAGGCTCACACACTCACCTAGAGGCTCACACACTCACCTAGAGGCTCACACACTCACCTAGAGGCTCACACACTCACCTAGAGACTCACACACTCACCTAGAGACTCACACACTCATCTAGAGACTCACACACTCACCTAGAGACTCACACACTCACCTAGAGACTCAAACACTCACCTAGAGACTCACACACTCACCTAGAGACGCACACACTCACCTAGAGACTCACACACTCACCTAGAGACTCACACACTCACCTCCAGTCTCACAGCACACTCGTACACACACACGCCTACAGATTCACACGCTCACCTAAGACTCACACACTCACCTAGAGACTCACACACTCACCTAGAGACTCACACACTCACCTAGAGACTCACACACTCACCTAGAGACGCACACACTCACCTAGAGACTCACACACTCAGCTAGAGACGCACACACTCACCTAGAGACTAACACACTCACCTAGAGACTCACACACTCACCTAGAGACTCACACACTCACCTAGAGACGCACACACTCACCTAGAGACTCACACACTCAGCTAGAGACGCACACACTCACCTAGAGACGCACACACTCACCTAGAGACTCACACACTCAGCTAGAGACGCACACACTCACCTAGAGACTCACACACTCACCTAGAGACTCACACACTCACCTAGAGACTCACACGCTCGCCTAAGACTCACACACTCACCTAGAGACGCACACACTCACCTAGAGACTCACACACTCACCTAGAGACGCACACACTCACCTAGAGACTCACACACTCACCTAGAGACTCACACATTCACCTCCAGTCTCACAGCACACTCGTACACACACACGCCTACAGATTCACACGCTCACCTAAGACTCACACACTCACCTAGAGACGCACACACTCACCTAGAGACTCACACACTCACCTAGAGACGCACCCACTCACCTAGAGACTCACACTCACCTAGAGACTCACACACTCACCTAGAGACTCACACACTCACCTAGAGACTCACACACTCACCTAGAGACGCACACACTCACCTAGAGACTCACACACTCAGCTAGAGACGCACACACTCACCTAGAGACGCACACACTCACCTAGAGACTCACACACTCAGCTAGAGACGCACACACTCACCTAGAGACTCACACACTCACCTAGAGACTCACACACTCACCTAGAGACTCACACGCTCGCCTAAGACTCACACACTCACCTAGAGACGCACACACTCACCTAGAGACTCACACACTCACCTAGAGACGCACACACTCACCTAGAGACTCACACACTCACCTAGAGACTCACAGATTCACCTCCAGTCTCACAGCACACTCGTACACACACACGCCTACAGATTCACACGCTCACCTAAGACTCACACACTCACCTAGAGACGCACACACTCAGCTAGAGACTCACACACTCACCTAGAGACGCACCCACTCACCTAGAGACTCACACTCACCTAGAGACTCACACGCTCACCTAAGACTCAAACACTCACCTAGAGACTCACACACTCACCTAGAGACTCACACACTCACCTACAGACTCACACACTCACCTACAGACTCACACACTCACCTACAGACTCACACATAGTCACCCTCACTCCCAAATAGAAACACTCACCACACTCCACTCATACACACCACAGTCACACGCGTTTAAAGTTCCAACGTCCCCGACTCTCACATAACACACGCGCGCCTACACTCATACACGGGCATACACACCGCATTCTTACATACATACAGATTAATACACACTCACACACAGTCATACACACATACACACCACACTGCACTCATACACACACTTATATTCGCTCATTCACACTCATGC